CAATAAGGACTATTAGCTGTTATAAGCCCTGTGTGGTTTGGGTAAAACATTGCAGTGCAGATGGCTTGGATCTTATTCAGTCATTATGAAACAGGACTGGAAATGATGTCAATAATCTGAAATTACCCAGATGAGTGAATCTGGGTAACACACACACACACTGCCCCTCCCTCAACTGGCTCCCACAGGTTCATCATGTTAGATGTTAAATTCAGCCCTAAGGGGGAGAATCCTGATCGTTGGTCCGAGAGCACATCTGTCAGAGAAAGAGAGCACAGTGACAAGTGGAATAACAACCCTCATTTAGCAACAAACATTGGTCGCAGAGTAAAGAGGCCCAAGGTCCTGAGCCCTATGTAGTCCCCTACGTAGAAGCAGCCCCCAGCAGTCAGGTCTCCTTTCATACGGTATGTAGCAAACAGTACTCCAAGTGTAGGATCTTCATTTGATCACCCTGTTGCAGGAAATGTAAAACTTGTTGTGTATTTGAGGTTTAAAAAGGCTTCTGAAGTTTGTAGTTTCCACTTTGAAATGTCAGACTTGATTTTCTTTACGAACAATGTATCAACCCCTACAAAAATGTCCATGAATTATAATCCACATAATAATTCACATTTCCTGTTGCTGCAGAATTATTTTCCTGCTGTAGCAAACTGGCTCAAATTAAGATCCTACATCTGTACAGTACTTCAAATGCTCTGCTATGAGAGGTTCTGCAGTGCATTTTGACATCCTCGGTCTTCAGTCAATCGTTTTGGTTTGTCATTTCCAATTGTTTTTCCAGGGTAAGAAATGCATTAACTGAACAATCCATTTAATTAAAGCTCAGGCCTACTATTCCCTGTATTAGATTAGTTTACTGACTACTGGAGCAGCACCCCCTGTACTGGTTGAGAGTTGGGTCATAGAGCAGTAAGTGGGCAGTATGTAGTCTGAATGGGAATAGATAGATGGCAAACCATGTGGTGTCATTTTATCACCTCTAGGACTGATTGTATGAGGGGAGTTTATCCCAACAGGTTTGTTCTCTTCCTTTGAGTCTGAAAATCGTTTCCATTTAAGCATCAAAGCTGTGGGTTGAGAGAGGTCAGATGTTCTGGAAAGAGATGGAAGTTGTCATAGGAAGCTTTCATCTTGTACTTTCAGGTTATTTAGTAGGGCAAAAACCTTGTAGCACTGAACATGCCACATTTAATGTACCTGTAAGTAGGGACATTGGAGAGGATTGGCAGCAAGGGCACTATTGTAACACTGTGTGTTATTACAGATTATTTTGTCACCATGGCTATGTTCATAGTTATGCAAACTATACATGCAAAGCAGGATGAGCCAGTGCAGAAATATCAGCCCAAAGAGAGAAGCACGATATTTAACTTCACTCAACTTTCTAGAGCAGTGGTCACAAATCGGTCGATCGCGATCGACTGGTCGATCTCCAAGGTATTCCTATTTCTGTAAAAAAATAAAATAATACTTGTTGGCAGTAAGTGCACCCGATTCAGGCGAACTGTTTCCATTTTGAACCATTTCATCAAGTGCACTATAGGCCTACCTCTGGCCAATCGGATGGCTCGGATGACCGTGTCTGCAGCAAAGTTGATACTGTGAGATTTCAAAACGTTTAAAACCATGACTAGAGAGAGATTGTCAATGAATAGCACAAAGAGATACTGTTTTTATGAGTGAGTTCATGTTTAAGTTCTTACTCAGCACTTTGTATTCAACATTTTTAAAACCATAAAATGTGCCTTCTTCCTATTTCCACTTAGCACTACAACAAGCACTGCAGCAGTAATGAATGAGTAGGAAAGTGTATCTATAGGCTTGCATTGTTATTATTAGCGGCTTGGGTCTTTTTTAATATCGAGGAATATTTCACATTCTCTGTTCATAGGAGTAACAACATGAATTTGTGCATGAGGCAGAAATAATGCGGTGCGACTCGAGTTTCGCTATCACCTGGAAGCCAGTGTCCCTTTTTGGTAGTGTCAGTGGTGTCAGTGGAGGAAAGGGAGAGCGTAGGGATGTTGAGAGGCGGACCCTCAGTCTTCTGCTCTCTCCCTCCGCTGAGACTGACCATCAGATGCAGGCACCATCAGCCCAGTAAAATAAAAATAAAAAATAAAATATTTAAATGTATGCTCACTCAGCTGTGCTTCACAAGTAATACAACAACATATCTATTACTGGTGTGATCATATAGCCTACCTCAAATTTTGAAATATAATTTAAAAAATGGCCCGAACAACAATGCATCGGCAAGGCAATTCAACTTTATTTTAAACAAAAAAAGTAAGAATAAAACAACAACAACAAAAAAGTGTTGAGAAAAAAAGAGCAGAAGTAAAATAAAGTGACAGTAGGGAGGCTATATATACAGTAAAATAAAGTGACAGTAGGGAGGCTATATATACAGGGGGGTACCGTTGCAGAGTCAATGTGCGGGGGCACCGGCTAGTTGAGGTAGTTGAGGTAATATGTACATGTGGGTAGAGTTAAAGTGACTATGCATAAATACTTAACAGAGTAGCAGCAGCGTAAAAAGGATGGGGTGGGGGGGCAGTGCAAATAGTCCGGGTAGCCATGATTAGCTGTTCAGGAGTCTTATGGCTTGGGGGTAGAAGCTGTTGAGAAGTCTTTTGGACCTAGACTTGGCACTCCGGTACCGCTTGCCGTGCGGTAGCAGAGAGAACAGTCTATGACTAGGGTGGCTGGAGTCTTTGACAATTTTGAGGGCCTTCCTCTGACACCGCCTGGTATAGAGGTCCTGGATAATTCAATCAAAGCGGTAATAATGTATTGGGCCTATAGCTTACTGCACAAACCTCATTGCTACAGTACTGTTTTTAATTGGTTAATGTTGCATAGGCTTAAATTTTTTAAGTCATGTTAAAAAAAAATCTGAGCGGTAGATCTCGGCTTGCATTTTGACTCAAAAGTGAACTTGACTCAGAAAAGGTTGGTGGCCACTGTTCTAGAGTTTTCCCGGTTGCCACTATCAACGTTTCCCTTTACTGTGATCGAATCAATGCAATATTAGCAACTTTCAATGCAACATACCGAAACAAAACTAACAATGCAAGGTATTTTGTTGTAGGCAGAACACATCGGAGTAGGATTCTATTGCATTGACACGCACTACTCAGCCCGTACTCTACACAGACCGGTGCGGCATAAACAATCAGAGCTGCAGTAGGCCTATATGCAAATAGACCATTGCCATATATGGATCTGTGCCATTTACTTTGAACTGGACTGTGTTTACAGCATGAGCGGTCGTGAGTAGATGCGCTTGTTTTGAGATCAAAGCGAGAGCTGCATGTTGCCACGTGTGCACATTTGTTCATATCCTTTGCTAGTTAGTGAGTTATTAGCCCAGTTATAGATCATTTGTAGTCAGCAATAGGGGAGGGATTGCTTCCTACAAGAGCACAAAACGAGTACATTTCTAGACATCTTTGGAAAGCGAGTCAGGTAAAGAGCTTTTTTTTCGTCTTAAAGGGGTAGTGGTTGTATTTTGAGACAGGCTTGCATAAGCCTAGTAGCCAATAGGCAGAGGGTAGCATAATTTGTCTGATTCTCTGTAATAATGGTACGGGAATAATCATGCATTTTATTTTGTAAAGTGGTTTCTTGCATCAAACAACACAACAACATTTTCAGTCACCTCCTTGTCTGAAGGACAAGTGGATAAACAGGTTAATGTCAAGTCCTGCATGTTTTTCAAAAGTCTCATGGAATGTAGGTTTACAATGAACACCACACATTGGCTGCTACTGTAGGCTGAACGATAGAACAGCTATTTCCATGTTAAAATGTTATGGGATGCATTTTCTCCATTGTTTTTGATGGTAGGCCACTCTGGTAGGCCTACATTATGATCAAATAGCCACAGTAGCCTACTTGACCACTGTTAAAACTAACTTAAAGCGGGTACAGCCTCAGTGTTCACTGGAAACGAGTGCTGGAATTTGCACAGCAGTTTCACAATGTTCAAGTTTGCGCTCAGCAGACCTGAAATGTTCTCTGTACATCACTTTAATATTTATATTTTTGACTACTTTTACTTTTACTAAACTACATTCCTAAAGGAAATTATGTACATTTTCTCTGACACCTGAAAGTACTCATTACATTTTGAATGGTTAGCAGGAAAAGGAACATTTTCTAATTCACACACTTATCTAGAGAACATCCCTGGTCATCCCTACTGCCTCTGATCTGGCGGGCTCACTAAACACTTGCTTCGTTTGTAAATGATGTCTGAGTGTTGGAGCATGCCCCTGGCTATTCGTAAATTTAAAAAACAAGAAAATGGTGCCGCCTGGTTTGCTTTGTATAAGGAATTTGAAAAGATGTATAATTTTACTTGTACTTTTGATACTTAAGTATATTTTAGCAATTACATTTACTTTTGATACTTAAGTATATTTAAAACCAAATACTTTTAGACTTTTACTCAAGTACTATTTTACTGGGTAACTTTCACTTTTACTTTAGTCATTTTCTATTAAGGTATCTTTACTTTTACTCATGTATGAGAATTGGGTACTTTTTCTACCACTGCCTACGTATGTCAGAGTGGTGGATCACAAGCACATGCTCCTTAGTGTCAGAAGAGCACTTTCAGACTAACTCTGACCACTACGTCAAGCACACAGACAGTTTTGACCAATAATGCCCTCCTACGCACGCACTCACAAAAGGTGTTAGTGAAAATGAACCAAAATCACCCAGCTCTCTGCAACAATCCCTGTCGATTTGCGTGTAAATTAGGGCATTTACCCTGCTCTTCCATTGGCCGAGGGACAGTGAAGGGGGTCACATGGTGTGGCAGGTGAGCTGCAGCAGGGTCTTTTAAAAGGCCAGTGAGCGGGGTGGGGCGGGGGAGATGGGCACTGACAGCCAGGCAGCCAGAGAGGGTCCGTTAGAGCTGGTCACATAGGCACTGGGACACTGGGTAGCTGGTCTGGGGCATTGTGTGGACATAGCGGGCTAGGATGGAGCAGGGGAGAACATATCTGTTCCAGGGGAGACAGGGTGGGCTGCTGGGGACTTTGAGGGGGACCAGGGTGTCGTGCTCCTCCTCCTCCTCCTGCTGCTGCTGTGGTCGGGACCAAGATAGACTGGAGCTCCTGGGAATGGAGGCTCTCATCGTTGTACCGGTTAGTAGGAGCAGTAGGGTCAGACTGATTGAAGTGGTCTATGTGAGTGTGATCTCTTGGGTTATTGTTGTCAATTCAGATACTGTGGTTTCGATGATGGTGTGAGGATCATATCAATTTTTAAGTAATATTATGGTCTGTGCTGTTGCTATGACAACACAACCACTAAGGTCCTCCCTGTATTTGAATTTGCATCTATGATTTACATACTGGTTATTACATGGTCATTATATTTGGTTCCTATTTGGCTGTACTGACAGTGTTGAACTGTGTGGAACACTCAGAAATCAGACCCACCGTCAACCATGTAGATATTTGTCTTGTGAAAAGCTGTGACATTGGCTTCTACAGTGTCCTTTGGGACAGATATTGCTAATACTCCAGCACAGTTTAGTCTTCATGACAACATGATGGTTTGCTGTGAGACTGAGGGATGTTTGTGTGAACATTTACACTCATTGCATTGTATTACACACACACACACACACACACACACACACACACACTACTTCTCCCTCTTTGTGTCTCACTCTGGACTACACATTAACTCTGATTGATTTGTGACAGTGCTTGAACAGCTAATGGAGTTTTTTTTGTGTTTTTTTGCTGCTGTTCTAGTTGTGCTTTAGGTGGTTGGAGGCCCGCGGTGTCAGACACCGTAGGTAAACACAACACAGTTCCTCCCCTTTCTTCCCCCAAAGGGCACAACAAAGACAATATCAGGTCCTGTTCTGTTCCTCTCTTCTGAAACTGTCTTCTGCTCTGGTTGCCTGAACCCCCATCCCTCTGGTTTCTCTGCACAATTTTCTGATATGACTCACTCTCTTTCCCACTTTCTTTCCCATTTCTTATACAGCTTTCCATTTTGCAAAGGCTGTTTGGCTTATCATGTGATATTATTGGGGTTCTAATCAAGGCCTTTTCAGCAGGGTGGTGAGGGGCCATTGTGAAGATATTCAGGTTAAATTCTGATTCACTTTTACTGTCCATGATTAATCTAGATTCAGCAGGACTCTCTGACCCTCTCTGTCCTCTCCCCTTCTAGGTACTGTCCCTGGGGGCTGACGTCCTGCCAGAGTACAAGCTCCAGGCGCCTCGCATCCACAAGTGGACCATCCTCCACTACAGTCCCTTCAAGGCGGTGTGGGACTGGGTCATCCTCCTGCTGGTCATCTACACGGCCGTCTTCACCCCCTACTCTGCTGCCTTCCTGCTCAACGAGGTGGAGGACGAGCTCCGGCGCTCCTGTGGCTACACCTGCAACCCCCTCAATGTGGTGGACCTGGTGGTGGACGTCATGTTTATCGTGGACATTCTCATCAACTTCCGGACCACATATGTCAATCACAATGACGAGGTGGTCAGCCACCCGGGCCGCATTGCCCAGCACTATTTCAAAGGCTGGTTCCTCATTGATATAGTGGCGGCCATCCCCTTTGACCTGCTCATATTCCGCTCTGCCTCCGATGAGGTGAGATGGAGGGAGGAGAAGGGGGATCATTTTAATCTATGTGTAGTATTGGTCCTTTTTTTGCAGCGTTGGTCTGTGTATAAATTCAACAAAGTCTCTCAAAACCTCTCTCCTCTCAGCCCCAGACGACCACTCTGATTGGCTTGCTGAAGACTGCTCGGCTGCTGCGATTGGTACGCGTGGCGCGAAAGCTGGACCGCTACTCAGAGTACGGCGCCGCCGTTCTCTTCCTCCTCATGTGCACCTTTGCCCTCATCGCCCATTGGCTGGCCTGTATCTGGTACGCCATCGGCAACGCGGAGCGCACCAACTCGGCCCGCATCGGAGGCATGAAGATCGGCTGGCTGGACAACCTGGCTGAACAGATTGGTAAACCATACAACGACACAGACCCTGCCTCTGGCCCTTCCACCAAGGATAAATACGTCACAGCGCTTTACTTTACCTTCAGCAGCTTGACCAGCGTGGGCTTCGGCAACGTTTCCCCCAACACCAACCCTGAGAAGATCTTCTCCATCTGCATCATGCTTATCGGCTGTGAGTACGTCACCAGTGTGTGTCTGTGACGTGCCTGTGTGTCGAGAGTGTTCATATGCATTGCTTTAAATGTAGTATCACCTATCATTTTAGGTGGATGTCTCTGACATGTCTCTGTGTCATCTCCTGTAGCGCTGATGTATGCCAGTATCTTTGGTAACGTATCGGCTATCATCCAGAGGCTGTACTCCGGCACGGCCCGTTACCACACCCAGATGCTGCGTGTCAAAGAGTTCATCCGTTTCCACCAGATCCCAGAGGGACTACGCCAGAGACTGGAGGAATACTTCCAACATGCCTGGTCCTATACCAATGGCATCGACATGAACGCTGTGAGTAACTCTCTAACACACATTCATATACAGCCAAACACACACACACACACACACACACACATCCATACCCACACGAAAAGCACATAGGCCCTACTTACCACCTGAGTTTTGCCGCCATTAGGTGCTCAGACAGGGAGACCTAACAGTGGAAATGATGTGCGTCATATCCTATGTGTTAGTAGATAGATAGTGTGTCCTGCTGCTTGCAGAGAAGAGAAAAGCATTGGGCCTCTAACACCACAGGAACATGACGTAGCAGAGAGCACGCCTGTCAATTCAATCTGAACAATCACATAGACACACTGTGTGTCTGTGTCTGTGCATGTGTCCCCTCAGTCAATAGTGAGCATCAACTGAAACATCTCTCCCCCCACTTTCTCTCTCTCTCTTTCTCCCTCTCCCATTTCTCCCTTCCTCTCTCTAGGTGCTGAAGGGTTTCCCTGAGTGTCTGCAGGCTGATATCTGTCTCCACCTGAACCGCTGCCTGCTCCAGAACTGCAGGGCCTTCAAGGGGGCCAGTAAGGGCTGTCTGCGGGCGCTAGCCATGAGGTTTAAGACCACCCACGCCCCTCCAGGCGACACCCTGGTCCACATGGGAGATGTCCTCTCAGCTCTCTACTTCATCTCCAGAGGGTCCATAGAGATTCTGAGAGATGACGTGGTGGTGGCCATACTGGGTAGGCTGAAGGGTGATAGTGGTTACTGGGTAGGCTGAAGGGTAATGGTGGTTACTGGGTAGGCTGAAGGGTAATGGTGGTTACTGGGTAGGCTGAAGGGTGATGGTGGTTACTGGGTAGGCTGAAGGGTAATAGTGGTTACTGGGTAGGCTGAAGGGTAATAGTGGTTACTGGGTAGGCTGAAGGGTGATGGTGGTTACTGGGTAGGCTGAAGGGTGATGGTGGTTACTGGGTAGGCTGAAGGGTGATGGTGCATACTAGGTAGGCTGAAGGGTAATAGTGGTTACTGGGTAGGCTGAAGGGTGATGGTGGTTACTGGGTAGGGCTAGAAGGGGTGATGGTGATACTGGGTAGCTGAAGGGTGATGGTGGTTCTGGTTTAGGCTGAAGTAGTGTGGTGGATACTAGGCATAGCTGAAGGGTTATGTGGTTTATGGGTCTGCCTGAGGTGATGTGGTTACTGGGTAGGCTGAAGGGTGATGGTTGTTACTGGTAGGCTGAAGTGGTTATGTGGTTATGGGTAGTCTGAAGGTTGATGGGGGATCCTCGGTCTGCTGAAGGGTGATGGTTGATACTAGGTAGGCTGAAGGGTTATGGTGGTACTGGGTATGCTGACGGGTGATGGTGAACTAGGTAGTCTGAAGGTATGGTGGTTACTGGGTAGGGCTGAAGGGTAATGGTGTTACTGGTTGGCTGAATGGTGATGTAAGTTAATGGGTAGGCTTGAGGGGTGATGTGGTTTACTGGGTAGGCTAAGAGTAATGGTGGTTACTGTTAGGCTGAATGGTGATGTGGTTACTGGGGTAGGGATGGATGGTGTTTACTGGTAGGCCTGAAAGGTGTAATGGTGGTTTCGGGTAGGGCTGAAAGGTAATGGTTGTTACTACTGGTGGCTAAGGGTATGGTGTTACTGGGTCGGGGGTTGGGGATGGTTTTTAAATGGGTAGGCTAAAGGGGGATGGGGTTTACGGGTAGGTGAAGGGTAAGGGTGGTTATGGGGGTGAAGAGTGAGGGGGTTACGGGTGGGCTGAAGGGTGATGGTGGTTTCTTGGTAGGCTAAAGGGGTAATGGGGGTTTACTGGGTGGGTTGAAAGTGATGGTTTTTATTGGTTAGGTGAAGGGTGGGGTGGTTACTGGTTAGGCTGAAGAGTGAGGGTGGTTACGGTTAGGCTAAAAGAGTGTGGTGGTAGGGTTTTAGGTGGGGGTGATGGTGGTACGGGTTAGGCTAAAGAGGATGGTGGATATGGTTGGGCGAAGGGTGATGGGGGTTACTGGTTAGGTGAAGAGGAGGGTGGATAGGGTTAGGCTAAAAGGGTAATGGTGGTTACTGGTTGGCTGAAAGTGATGGTGGATACGGTTAGGCTGAAGGGTGATGGTAGTTACTGGGTAGCCTCTCCTTCTTTCTTAAGTCTTCCCCTTGTTCTTCCCATTCAAGCTTGTGGTTTGGTACATTCTCTGTCTGTCTGTCTGTCTGTCTGTCTCTCTGTCTCTCTGTCTCTCTCTCTCTCTCTCTTTCACTCACTCATTCACTCACTCACTCTCTCACACACACACTGCTGTGTTCTGGTGTGCTGTTTAGCCAGAGGTGTTTGGGCACGGCTCCACTTCCATTTCACAGTGTCATTGATTACCGATCGCCCGATTGCTCAGACCCACACTCTCTATGCTAGCCTGTCTCATTTTGATTTGTCTCCCCTCTGCATTTAAGTGGACACAAAGTCAGGCCTAACTGGAATAATGTAGAGCATTAGTGTTGTTGTTCTACTCTATCTCTGAAAAATCCAGAAATAATCCAGAAGAAAATATCTATCAGGTTAGTCTTGTATAGAAAGGCAGTGTATGCGAGTGAGCTTATGAATGTTTTTAATGCTTATGTTGTCCAATTATCTTTGTGTTCAATCATTGCTTTCTCCATTGTCACTCTATTCACCTCATTTTCCTCTTCACCTGTGTCACACCTTTCAACCTCTCATCTCTCCATTCTCTTTCTCTCTGTAGGTAAGAATGATATCTTCGGGGAGCCCATCTATCTTTTTGGGCGTCCAGGGAAGTCCAGTGCGGACGTCAGGGCTTTGACCTACTGTGACCTCCATAGGATCCTGAGGGACGACCTGCTGGAGGTGCTGGACATGTACCCAGACTTCTCCGACTGCTTCTGGACCAACCTGGAGATCACCTTCAACCTCCGAGATGTGAGTCTACCATGAGAGGGGGACAGAGAGCACTCTCTCAAACCACAAATAGATACTGTTTATGTTGAGCCGGTTTCCTGGACATGGATTGTGTAGTCTTGGACTAAAAAGCATTCTCAATGGAGAATCTACTTTGAAAGTGCTTTTTAGCCCAGGACTAGTCTTAATCTGTGTCCGGGAAACCAGCCCTTAGTCATAAAGAGAGCTTAACACAAGGTCAATGAGTTTTAGTTAGGCAAAACTGTATGCAAAAACATTACTTCTTTAATATTTAGTGTGTATAAATCTGATGATTTTATGATGTATGTGTAATGTGTTGTAAAGTGTGAGTGGTTTTTTGTTGAATTACTGAAGCTGATGTGTATTAGGTAGATAGAATAAACCAGGCAACTCCCAGTGAGGACTCTGAATGTGGATATCGACGGCCGCGGCCACGACGCAGGAGAAACCGGCCTGGTGAGTGTGTGTGGATCTGCTCATTATGTCATCATGGGTTTCTTATACATTGTTAAAAGTAGTGTTACTATCAATGATATGTATAAAGTTGTGGTGGTCATTGTACCTGTCCTGGCTGTGTGTAGACGGCATGGACCGTGAGGACTCGTTTCCAGACCAGTCGTGTCCTTTGGGGAACCACAACGGCCCTGACACAAGCTCCCACTGGGAGGGCATGTGTAGCAGCGCCAGCGCCTGCTCCCAGTCCAGTGACGATGAGATGATGCCTCTAGGACATAGCAAAGCAGAGCTGTACCCCTCCGGGGATGACACCGATGACTACCCCCCTGCTGTGGTCAGCCTGCTGCCCCCCAGCGGACCCTCAGCTGGCATGGGGCCGCCCCTGGACCGAGGAAGTCACCAATACACAGGTAGAGAGAGACTGAGATATAGATACACAGTATTACGCATGAACTAACTAAGATCAGTGGACTGGACTATGTTATAACCTGCCTCAAAGCATTCACACAGGCATCTCTGCTCTTTCTCTACATCCCAGCCTCAGCCCCCATCAACATGCCAGGCCCAGGGGTGTATGGGTATTGGCCTGACCGGAGGACCAGTCAGTTGTCAGATCCCCAGCAGCGCTGCTCCTCAGTGAGGGGCACCTACCACCCTCCTCCCTGTGCAGAGGACAGGCCCAGTGAACTGGAGTCCAGAGTGGAGCGGGAAAAATAGAAGGGGGGGAGGAAAGGGAAAAAAAAGGAGGAGGGGGGAGGAGGGAAAGGGGGGAAAAGTGAGGAGAGGGAGAAGGGAAAAGGGGGGAAAAAAGGAGAGGGGAGAAAAGGGGGGGGGGGAAAAGGGGGGAGAAGAGGGGAAAAAGGGGGGAAAAGGGGGGAAAAAAGGGAAAAAGGGGGAGGAAGAGGGGGGGGAAAAATGAGGAGGGGGGAAGGAAAGGAAAGGGGGGAAAAGGGGGGAGAAGAGGGGGAAAAGTGAGGAGAGAAAAAGGGGGGGGAAAAGGAGGAAAAGAAGGGAGGGAAAAGTGGGGGGGAGGAAGAGGGGAAAAAGTGAGGAGAGAAAAGGGGGAAAAGGGGGAAGAAAAAGGGGGGGAAAAGTGAGGGAGGAGAGAAGGAAAGGGGGGGTAAAATGGGGGAAGGGGGAAAAAAAATAAAGGGGGGGAGAAAGAAAAAAAGAGGAGGCACAGAAAAAATTTTGACAAAATTAAAGGGGGAAAATTTTTCCCCCGGGGGAAAAGGGGTAATGGGGAAGAAGCAAAAAATTAAAAATTTAAGGGGCCAAAAGAAAAATTTAAAAATGGGGAAAAAAAATGTTGCTTTTTTTATGGCCCCCCCTCGACCCCCGGGCCCTCCAACTGGGCTCATGCCCAAATTCCCCATCTGCCCTCCCCCCAAAGGGGGCCCCCCCCCCCCCCGGGGGGGTTTTTGCCCCCCCTCATGTCAACATTCGGGACAAGGCCCCCCTCCCAACTTTTTTGAAACAAAAGGCGATGTTGGTGGGGAGTTTTGGGGGAAAGGGATGGGGAAAATTTGAAAGATATATGTTTTTGCTTCCTTTTTACAATTTTTTGGTGTCTCCAAAAATTGGTTTGGAAAACATGGGTTTAAAAAAAATCCCCGGGATTTTATTGAAATTTTTGGGGTTTTTAAACTTTGGGGGAAAAGGTACATTTGGGGTTTTTTTTAACCCTGCTCCCCAAAAAAAATGACATGAAGGAAGACCAAGAAAGGATTGAGAGAGATCACAGAGGAAGAAATGATTGACTTTATTTATCTATGGTCTTTCCTCTCCCATCCTGCCTCCATCCTTGGCCCTGCCCAGACTGGAGACTCGGATGACTGCAGACATCCACGTGATCCTGCAGCTGCTCCAGAGGCAGATGGCCCCAGTGCCCCCGGCCTACAGCGCTGTGTTGCCCAGCCCTCACCCTGCTCACCCCACCACCCTGTACGGCACAGCAGCCCCCGTCATCCACACTGTCCCCTCCATGCCCCCAATCAAGATTGACAGCATGCCTTCGCCGCTGCAGGTGGGTACTGGTATGGTGCACAGATAGTACAGTATATATCAGTTTTTGCTTCCTTGCTACAATGCTCTGTCCTCCAAAAGCTATGTGATATTGTGAAACAGTGGGCTGATGAAATGAGTGAGAGCGAGGTATTGGTATTGAAAGTTGTACTGGCCTGGTTTAGATCTTACCTGTCGGAAAGATATCAGTTTGTCTCTGTGAATGGTCTGTCCTCCGACAAATCAACTGTACATTTCGGTGTTCCTCAAGGTTCCGTTTTAGGACCACTATTGTTTTCACTATATATTTTACCTCTTGGGGATGTTATTCGAAAACATAATGTTAACTTTCACTGCTATGCGGATGACACACAGCTGTACATTTCAATGAAACATGGTGAAGCCCCAAAATTGCCCTCGCTAGAAGCCTGTGTTTCAGACATAAGGAAGTGGATGGCTGAAAACGTTTTACTTTTAAACTCGGACAAAACAGAGATGCTTGTTCTAGGTCCCAAGAAACAAAGAGATCTTCTGTTAAATCTGACAATTCATCTTGATGGTTGTAAAGTCGTCTCAAATAAAACTGTGAAGGACCTCGGCGTTACTCTTGACCCTGATCTCTCTTTTGACGAACATATCAAGACTGTTTCAAGGACAGCTTTTTTCCATCTACGTAACATTGCAAAAATCAGAAATGTTCTGTCCAAAAATGATGCAGAAAAATTTATCCATGCATTTGTTACTTCTAGGTTAGACTACTGCAATGCTCTATTTTCCGGCTACCCGGATAAAGCACTAAATAAACTTCAGTTAGTGCTAAATACGGCTGCTAGAATCCTGACTAGAACCAAGAAATTTGATCATATTACTCCAGTGCTAGCTTCCCTACACTGGCTTCCTGTTAAGGCAAGGGCTGATTTCAAGGTTTTACTGTTAACCTATAAAGCGTTACATGGGCTTGCTCCTACCTATCTTTCCGAGTTGGTCCTGCCGTACATACCAATACGTACGCTACGGTCACAAGACGCAGGCCTCCTAATTGTCCCTAGAATTTCTAAGCAAACAGCGGGAGGCAGGGCTTTCTCCTATAGATCTCCATTTTTATGGAACAGTCTGCCTACCCATGTGAGAGACGCAGACTCGGTCTCAACCTTTAAGTCTTTACTGAAGACTTATCTCTTCAGTAGGTCATATGATTGAGTGTAGTCTGGCCCAGGAGTGTGAAGGTGAACGGAAAGGCTCTGGAGCAACGAACAGCCCTTGCTGTCTCTGCCGGGCCGGTTCCCCTCTCCACTGGGGTTCTCTGCCTCTAACCCTGTTGCAGGGGCTGAGTCACTGGCTTGCTGGTGCTCTTTCATGCCGTCCCTGGGAGGGGTGCGTCACTTGAGTGGGTTGAGTTACTGACGTGATCTTCCTGTCTGGGTTGGCGCCCCCCCCTTGGTTTGTGCTGTGGTGGAGACCTCTGTGGGCTATACTCGGCCTTGTCTCAGGAGTGTAAGTTGGTGGTTGAGGATATCCCTCTAGTGGTGCGGGGGCTGTGCTTTGGCAGAGTGGGTGGGGTTATATCCTTCCTGTTTGGCCCTGTCCGGGGGTTTCTTCGGATGGGGCCACAGTGTCTCCGGACCGCTCCTGTCTCAGCCTCCAGTATTTATGCTGCAGTAGTTTATGTGTCGGGGGGCTGGGGTTAGTTGGTTATACCTGGAGTACTTCTCCTGTCTTATCCAGTGTCCTGTGTGAATTTAAGTATGCTCTCTCTAATTCTCTCGTTCTCTCTTTCTCTCTGAGAACCTGAGCCCTAGGACCATACGTCAGGACTACCGGGCATGATGACACCTTGCTGTCCCCAGTCCGCCTGGCCTTGCTGCTATTCCAGTTTCAACTGTTCTGCCTGCGGTTACGAAACCCCTACCTGTCCCAGACCTGCTGTTTTCAACTCTTAATGATCGGCTATGAAAAGCCAACTGAGAGACCTGAGCCCTAGGACCATACGTCGGGACTACCGGCCGTGGTGACTCCTTGCTGTCCCCAGTCCGCCTGGCCTTGCTGCTATTCCAGTTTCAACTGTTCTGCCTGCGGTTATGGAACCCCTACCTGTCCCAGACCTGCTGTTTTCAACTCTTAATGATCGGCTATGAAAAGCCAACTGAGATTTATTCCTGATTATTATTTGACCATGCTTGTCACTTATGAACATTTTTGAACATCTTGGCATGGTTCTGTTATAATCTTCACCCGGCACAGCCAGAAGAGGACTGGCCACCCCTCATAGCCTGGTTCCTCTCTAGGTTTCTTCCTAGGTTTTCGCCTTTCTAGGGAGTTTTTCCTAGCCACCGTGCTTCTACACCTGCATTACTAGCTGTTTGGGGTTTTAGGCTGGGTTTCTGTACAGCACTTCGAGATATTAGCTGATGTAAGAAGGGCTATATAAAATAAAATTGATTGATTGATTGATACTGTATACAGAGTTACTGAATCGCTTTACCCCCCTTTTTTTTCTTTGCAGAGCCAGGACTCAGACAAGCACAAGTCCAAGGACTCCCTGTCCAGTGGGATCCACCTCACGGTGGCCTCTGATGACACCATGTCCATGTCCCCTGAGACAGAGCCCCTTCCAGGGCCCTCCATGGGCCTCAGCCCCCCCCAGGTCTCCTGCCCCACCATGGGACCCTCTGGACTGCTGTGTGGCAGCCTGCGTTTCCCCTCCCTCCCTGACAACCTGGAGACCTCCACAGAGGGGCAGGAGATTCAGAGGCACGTTTCTGACCCCATCCTGCCAGGCAGCTAAAACCCTCTGACCTTTAACCTTAAACCTGATCATCCCTCACTCCCAGCACCCCCTGCACCACCACAGGAGGACAGTCAAATGTTGCAGAGTCACTTCTCTAATCCTCCCCCCTCTCACTCCTCCTCTCCAATCCCCACCCAACCCCCTAACCTTTAAGATGCTGCTGATCCACGTGGGTTGCCTTCCACGTAGCTATGGGGAGGTTTTATTGAGGGCCCCCTCTCACTGACTCACAGGGCCCGGGGCTGAGGCACCACTGGTCCTGTGCGACAACCAACCTCTCCTCTCTCTCTCAGGGCCTAGGGCATTATTGAGAGGGGGTTTAGGATTTCTGCAACCCAGACCCCACAAAGCCTGGGGGCCTGGCACTGCCTATGGAGAACTGATATGAAACTGGGCTGACTAGAAGCACACACACACACGTCACACGGACACTCACAATAACCCCAAACCCTCTTTTCCCTGGATCTCAAAGCTGTAGTATCTGCATTCCTCTCTGGTTTTGCTTTTGTTAAGTGATCAGGTATGATGACAGTGACACGCATGGCTTTCTATGCCATGGTCCTTTTTTGTTGGGAGATAAGAATTTGGCCAAAAATACATATAACTGTGTGTATACTGTATGTTTACACTGTAGAAGAACTGCACATTCAGGCTCAGTACTTTTTATAAGTTGAACTGAAACGTATTTTTATAGTATTCAATCAAAATGAGAAAATGTAATGATCATGAGGATCTTACCGTGAATCTGGAAAATCTAATAGTTATGAATGCCCAAATATATTTATTTCGCACTATTGCTGTGTTGGTGTAACATATTATCAACAGATAATATAAAGAGATGGTATAAATGCCATCTAAATACTGTTTATATCTGTATGGTAGGAATGACTCAAAAGTGGCCATTTTTGTATACAGTAATTACATTATCATGTTCTACCAATCATGACTTAATGGTAAGCAATATTTGTTAACATGAAGTGACATGTCTCATTATTGTTTGAACATTGTCAAGGGTCATGAGAACAGCTAATTGACATGGGAAACAAGCAAAACAGAGTTTTCTCATCTCCTTTATGCTGTAGTTATGTAGGACTTGTGACACCTTTCATTTATACAGCCATTACTGCTTTGCTTGGTTCATCATGTTTGTGTATGTCTATATACAGTGGGGGAAAAAAGTATTTAGTCAGCCACCAATTGTGCAAGTTCTCCACCTTAAAAAGATGAGAGAGGCCTGTAATTTTCATCATAGGTACACGTCAACTATGACAGACAAATTGAGAAAGAAAAATCCAGAAGATCACATTGTAGGATTTTTAATGAATTTATTTGCAAATTATGGTGGAAAATAAGTATTTGGTCACCTACAAACAAGCAACATTTCTGGCTCTCACAGACATGTAACTTCTTCTTTAAGAGGCTCCTCTGTCCTCCGCTCGTTACCTGTATTAATGGCACCTGTTTGAACTTGTTATCAGTATAAAAGACACCTGTCCACAACCTCAAACAGTCACACTCCAAACTCCACTATGGCCAAGACCAAAGAGCTGTCAAAGGACACCAGAAACAAAATTGTAGACCTGCACCAGGCTGGGAAGACTGAATCTGCAATAGGTAAGCAGCTTGGTTTGAAGAAATCAACTGTGGGAGCAATTATTAGGAAATGGAAGACAGACAAGACCACTGATAATCTCCCTCGATCTGGGGCTCCACGCAAGATCTCACCCCGTGGGGTCAAAATGATCACAAGAACGGTGAGCAAAAATCCCAGAACCACACGGGGGGACCTAGTGAATTACCTGCAGAGAGCTGGGACCAAAGTAACAAAGCCTACCATCAGTAACACACTACGCCGCCAGGGACTCAAATCCTGCAGTGCCAGACGTGTCCCCCTGCTTAAGCCAGTACATGTCCAGGCCCGTCTGAAGTTTGCTAGAGTGCATTTGGATGATCCAGAAGAGGATTGGGAGAATGTCATATGGTCAGATGAAACCAAAATTTTACTTTTTGGTAAAAACTCAACTCGTCGTGTTTGGAGGACAAAGAATGCTGAGTTGCATCCAAAGAACACCATACCTACTGTGAAGCATGGGGGTGGAAACATCATGCTTTGGGGCTGTTTTTCTGCAAAGGGACCAGGACGACTGATCCGTGTAAAGGAAAGAATGAATGGGGCCATGTATCGTGAGATTTTGAGTGAAAACCTCCTTCCATCAGCAAGGGCATTGAAGATGAATCGTGGCTGGGTCTTTCAGCATGACAATGATCACAAACACACCGCCCGGGCAACGAAGGAGTGGCTTCGTAAGAAGCATTTCAAGGTCCTGGAGTGGCCTAGCCAGTCTCCAGATCTCAACCCCATAGAAAATCTTTGGAGGGAGTTGAAAGTCTGTGTTGCCCAGCGACAGCCCCAAAACATCACTGCTCTAGAGGAGATCTGCATGGAGGAATGGGCCAAAAAACCAGCAACAGTGTGTGAAAACCTTGTGAAGACTTACAGAAAACGTTTGACCTGTGTCATTGCCAACAAAGGGTATATAACAAAGTATTGAGAAACTTTTGTTATTGACCAAATACTTATTTTCCACCATAATTTGCAAATAAATTCATAAAAAATCCTACAATGTGATTTTCTGGATTTTTTTTTTTCTCATTTTGTCTGTCATAGTTGACGTGTACCTATGATGAAAATTACAGGCCTCTCTCATCTTTTTAAGTGGGAGAACTTGCACAATTGGTGGCTGACTAAATACTTTTTTCCCCCACTGTATCTGTTCTGTTTCACAGGACTGTTGTTACACCAAGGATGCATCATCTCTTTTTCAGGTGTGTGTGTGTGGTGTGTGTGTGTGTGTGTGTGTGTGTGTGTGTGTGTGTGTGTGTGTGTGTGTGTGTGTGTGTGTGTGTGTGTGTGTGTGTGTGTGTGTGTGTGTGTGTGTGTGTGTGTGTGTGTGTGTGTGTGTGTGTGTGTGTGCGCAATATTTGTTGACTATGTTTGAGTAAGTGACATGGTCACATATTTAACATTACCCTTTTGAAAATGTACTTAAGGCTGGGATTCAATCTGATCGTGCTTTGTCCTCCAATGCACGTCTACAAGGCAATGTTCCCGCTTTTGCAGAGACCACATTAATGGTTAATGCTGCATATGTCGGCTCAATCGGAAATTACGTTCAAATGGTGCATTGTCCAAATCCGCAATCAGATTGAATCCTGGCCCAAATGTGTGTAATGATTCAAGGTTCCAAAGTTAGTAGATGTTTGATGCCCACCTGGGAGGAAGTGATGTGGATGGAATCTGCCAATCAAGTGATGTCACTGGGATAGTGTCATTTTCCCCAGAATCCCAGTGTCAGGATGTTTTTGACAGTTTCAGGTGAATGTAACTCCGTTTTTTAAGCCTTTCTTGGTCTGTAAAGGTTTCTTGAAGCACAAAATCATAATTCTTATTTATCTTTTTTAGATTAAATATTATTTATAACAAATAATACATAAACTTCAACTACTGACGAGTTGTTTATTTTGGGGTGAGGGCTTGGACTTGGGTGGTTTGCACAATTTTCTATTCTTCAGGAATTAATAGACATCAACTTATAAACCACATTTTAAAACCAGGAGTTCATTCAGTTGGGCCATGTTAAAGGCCCAGTGCAGTCAAAAACATGATTTTCCTGCATTTTATATATACCCTACATGACCAAAATTATGTGGACACCTGCAAGTCGAACATCTTATTCCAAAATCATGGGCATTAATGTGGAGTTGGTCCTTCCTTTGCTGCTATAACAGCCTCCATTCTTCTGGGAAGGCTTTCCACTAGATGTTGGAACATTGCTGCGGGGACTTGCTTCCATTCAGCCACAAGAGCATTAGTGAGGTCGGGCACTGATGTTGGGCGATTAGGCCTGGCTCGCAGTCGGTGTTCAAATTCATCCCAAAGGTGTTTGATGGGGTTGAGGTCAGGGTTCTGTGCAGGCCAGTCAAGTTCTTCCACACCGTTCTCGACAAACCATTTCTGTATGGACCTCGCTTTGTGCATGGGGGCATTGTCATGCTGAAACAGGAAAGGGCCTTCCCCAAACTGTTGTAAGCACAGAATCGTCTAGAATGTCATTGAATGCTGTAGAGTTAAGATTTCCCTTCACTGGAACTAAGGGGCCTAGCCCGAACCATGAAAAACAGCCCCAGTTGACACTATGCATGGGGGCAGGTACTGTTCTCCTGGCATCCGCCAAACCCAGACTCGTCCGTCGGACTAACAGATGGTGAAGCGTGATTCATCACTCCAGAGAACGTGTTTCCACTGCTCCAGAGTCCAATGGTGGCAAACTTTACACCACTCCTGTTGACGCTTGGCATTGCGCACGATGAACTTAGGCTTGTGTGTGGCTCCTCGACCACGGAAACCCATTTCATGAAGCTCCCAACTAACAGTTATTGTGCTGACGTTGCTTCCAGAGGCAGTTTGGAACTCGGTATTGAGTGTTACAACCGAGGACAGAGGAGTCTTCACGCGCTACGCACTTCAGCACTCGGCGGTCCTGATCTGTGAGCTTGTGTGGCCTACCACGTCGAGGCTGAGCCGTTGTTGCTCCTAGACGTTTCCACTTCACAATAACAGCACTTACAGTTGACCAGGGCAGAAATTTGCCGAACTGACTTGTTGGAAAGGTGGCATCCTATGACGGTGCCATGTAGAAAGTCACTGAGCTCTTCAGTAAGGCCATTCTACTGCCAATGTTTGTCTATGGAGATTGCATGGCTGTGTTCTTGATTTTATACACCTGTCAGTAACGGTGTGGCTGAAATAGCAGAATCCACTAATACTGAAATTGTGAACATTATGATAGTGCCCTTTTAGTGTAAGAAATGTTGGTGGGATGGAGTTTTGGCTTGCCTGGCGACATCACCAGGCATTAAATTAGTTAATAGACCAATATGAGAGTTCCAAACCTCTCTTCCAATAACAGCTAGTTTTCAGCAGGTTGACATTTCTCATGAATCTTGCACTGAAGGCAGAACTGAGCGATTTCTGCTAGATGGGCCAGTTGCAAAGTCAAAATTGGCTATATCGTACAAATCCCTGAAAACTAAATTAGCTTTTTGGTCTTAATTTAAGGTTAGGCATTAGGGTTAGCAATGTGGTTAAGGTTAGGTTTAAAATCAGATGTTATGACTTTGTGGTTGTGTCAGAGCTAGTGACCACTCTGTATAGCTGTCCCAGGCCAACATTTATGACAATAAATGCCAACCTGACAGTTTTCAGTTTTCCCATCCAAGACAGAAATTGCTCTTTGCTAAGAAGCTATTTTTGTTTCTTTTTGACCATTTTAATTGAAAACAATCACAGTAAGGTACTTACAGTGAGGGAAAAAAGTATTTGATCCCCTGCTGATTTTGTACGTTTGCCCACTGACAAAGAAATGATCAGTCTATAATTTTAATGGTAGGTTTATTTGAACAGTGAGAGACAGAATAACAACAACAAAATCCAGAAAAACACATGTCAAATTTGTTTTTTATTGATTTGCATTTTAATGAGGGAAATAAGTATTTGACCCCCTCTCAGTCAGAAAGATTTCTGGCTCCCAGGTGTCTTTTATACAGGTAACGAGCTGAGATTAGGAGCACACTCTTAAAGGGAGTGCTCCTAATCTCAGTTTGAATACCTGTATAAAAGACACCTGTCCACAGAAGCAATCAATCAATCAGATTCCAAACTCTCCACCATGGCCAGGACCAAAGAGCTCTCCAAGGATGTCAGGGACAAGATTGTAGACCTACACAAGGCTGGAATGGGCTACAAGACCATCGCCAAGCGGCTTGGTGAGAAGGTGACAACAGTTGGTGCGATTATTCGCAAATGGAAGAAACACAAAAGAACTGTCAATCTCCCTCGGCCTGGGGCTCCATGCAAGATCTCACCTCGTGGAGTTGCAATGATCATGAGAACGGTGAGGAATCAGCCCAGAACTACACGGGAGGATCTTGTCAATGATCTCAAGGCAGCTGAGACCATAATCACCAAGAAAACAATTGGTAACACACTACGCTGTGAAGGACTGAAATCCTGCAGCGCCCGCAAGGTCCCCCTGCTCAAGAAAGCACATATACAGGCCCGCCTGAAGTTTGCCAATGAACATCTGAATGATTCAGAGGAGAACTGGGTGAAAGTGTTGTGGTCAGATGAGACACAAATCGAGCTCTTTGGCATCAACTCAACTTGCCTTGTTTGGAGGAGGAGGAATGCTGCCTATGACCCCAAGAACACCATCCCCACCGTCAAACATGGAGGTGGAAACATTATGCTTTGGGGGTGTTTTTCTGTTAAGGGGACAGGACAACTTCACCGCATCAAAGGGACGATGGACAGGGCCATGTACCGTCAAATCTTGGGTGAGAACCTCCTTCCCTCAGCCAGGGTATTGAAAATGGGTTGTGGATGGGTATTCCAGCATGACAATGACCCAAAACACACGGCCAAGGCAACAAAGGAGTGGCTCAAGAAGAAGCACATTAAGGTCCTGGAGTGGCCTAGCCAGTCTCCAGACCTTAATCCCATAGCAAATCTGTGGAGGGAGCTGAAGGTTCGAGTTGCCAAACGTCTGCCTCGAAACCTTAATGACTTGGAGAAGATCTGCAAAGAGGAGTGGAACAAAATCCCTCCTGAGATGTGTGCAAACCTGGTGGCCAACTACAAGAAACATCTGACCTCTGTGATTGCCAACAAGGGTTTTGCCACCAAGTAGTAAGTCATGTTTTGCAGAGGGACTTATTTCCCTCATTAAAATGCAAATCAATGTATAACATTTTTGACGTTATTCTGTCTCTCACTGTTCAAATAAACCTACCATTAAAATTATAGACGGATCATGTCTTTGTCAGTGGGCAAACGTACAAAATCAACAGGGGATCAAATACTTTTTCCCCTCACTGTAATTGTTACCCAGAAATGATTTAATATTGAGATCAAAACAGCTGTATTGGACCTTTAAGAACACTGCAGAGAAATGTAATGTTAGGAGCTGACAGAGAACCATACCTGCTCCATCTGCACATTTTAGTGACATTGTGCCACCTAAATAAATAATGACATCCTGACCTATCAGTGTGTTCAGTGATGCAAATAATGACACTGACAACTACGAAAGACGTGAAGGAATATTTATTAGTTAGAGCAAATTTGGTAATATAAACTTTTATGAAAAAAGCTACATGTAGATTTGCCTTATCAATATCTTGGTTCATATATTTATAAGTATGTACATTTCCCCTTGTACAAACATGCTAAAAGGGGGTTGACCTTCGAGTACAGAGAACAATAAAAAGATAGTGAGACACAAGAAGAGGGGGGAAAAAAGGTTTCACTCTCCTTCAGTACTAGGCTAAACTTATTTGTTTCACACATTCTTGAATAGGAACTGCAGTTGTTCCAAGCAACTCAACTCAAAATGAAGCTGGCAAAGTATCCGAACTGTGAGACATTCATTGTGTTGAACACAGGAGGCTGCCGGAACAGAGCACATGGAATGGCATCAAACACATGGAAACCATGTGTTTGATACCATTCCACTGATTCCACTCCAGGCATTAGAACGAGCCCGTCCTCCCCAATTAAGGTGCCACCAACCTCCTGTGGTGTTGAATCAATATAACACTTCAGTCACTTCACTACATGTCAGATTATCACAGTATAATCATGGAAGTGATCTGGTACCAGCAAACCATTTTTAAAATACTTGTCTCATTAAAATAATTATTAGGCCTTAAAATTAGCCTTATGGTTTCAAATTCAGAAGTCTACAACTGGATTTAAACCAGTTCAGAAAGACACCCAGATTACCCTAAATTACATTTTCTGACAGTGAGTGTCATTTTAAATCCACTTTCCTGACCCTAAATATGTTGTTATATGTCACTCCAAAACATCTTCATATTAATCTCATAGCTGGCTGGATAAAACAACAGGTTAAACACACTCAAGAGGCAGTGTTCAGTTGGAACTGCACTCCATAATGAATTGACCATCTAGAATTGTTGAACCTACTGAAAGCACTGATGCATTTTGGCGCTGTACAGACACTGATGACTACCAAAACGATAAATAAATAGAGGACAACATACTCCTTTTGACACAGGGATTAGTCATATCAAAAACAGAGTAAACCAGGACATTATGGAGTGGAACAAAGGACACTCCAAGAGTCAAAGAGTTCACACCGTCTCCCATACGCACATCAATCAGCCAGGAGAGAGCAGTGGGTTGAGGCAGTCCTGCAAGATTTACTTCCACTCAAAAAAACAAGTCCAAGTTCCGAATACACACATTGTCCTCATCCTCCACATCAACTCCTCAGGTGAAGGTTGGCTTTAGACCCGCAGGATCTCCAGGCAGTTGTTGTAGCCGATGGCGATCCAGTCAGGCTGGGTGGAGGCCCACTGGACGTTGTTGATCTCTCCTTCGGCCGTGTAGGCCAGAATAGGGTCCTCGATGGCCCTGGGCATTTGCTGGATGTCCCATATCAGCGCCTGGTGGTCGTCGGCTGAGGACGGAGGAAAGACAATACATTATTATTACACTGACGTAAGGGAGAATGAGGACTGAGGAAAGGTGAGCTGGTAAAGGAGCTGTTTGTGCCTTACCTGCAGTGCAGATGTGACAGGAGGAGTGGGGAGCCCAGGCGATGCCGTTGACACAGGCCCGGTGGTTGTTGAGGCGGGCCACCGGCGTGCAGGGAACACGCACGTCCAGAATCACAACCTGAGACACACAGCACAGGAGAGAGACAACACATTAAATAGAGATAAGGAGAGGGAATGGACAATACCAAACTGAAAGAGGAATGAGAAAGGAGAGTAAAATAGACTGACCTCCATGCCGTCCATAGCCATGGTGGCCAGGTAGTTGGGGTCCTGTTTGTTCCAGCAGAGGCGCAGTAGGGGGTGGTGCTGGGGGTCTTCATAGATAATGGTGCTGTGCTCCAGGTGCCGCAGGTCAAACATGCGTACTGAGCCGTCTGCTCCGACCGACGCAAACATGTCCCGACCACCGCCTGCGCGGCTGAACGCGATGTCATACACCTAGATACAGAGAACAACACCAACATACAGAGTTATTAAACTGGTACACCCACGGACACACATTCAGACTTCAATGACCTCAGGACCAGGGGTTGGAACGGAAATGATTTTCCAATCGTTCCATTCCGAACAGAACCCCTATTTATTTTGTTCCATTCCAGTGGTCCGACTAGCATAATAAAGTTCTGAACTGGTTCGAACCCCCAAAAAAGGTATGGTTCATATATCTCCTTTTCGTAAAATGTCTAAGCCGTAAAATAACGTTTTTACATTAAGCTCATTAATTTGTTTCACCTATTAGTGCAGATGGAGCAGCTTGCTGTGTATGCGCAAGCTAGTTGTTTACATGTTTAATTGGTCATTTAAGTGCAGCCACGAGATAAGACAATTTCATGGGTGGGGAGAGAGCGAAAGAGCGGGCTTGGCTTGAAGCGCTAAACATCATGATGTGAATTGGGATGTGATTAGGCTATTACTAGAATCCTGCAAGAATCATAACTTCACTGAATTACATAATTAAATATTAGACATTAGGAATATTTTTGGAACAAAAAATAACATTATTAACCGGTTCTCAAGATTTGGAAATAAGGATTCTATTACGGAACACTAGAGATCACTTTCTTTCCCAGGTCTGTTTACGTTCCTACATTCCCCCCCATTTTTTTCGGTTTTCGGTTCTGCTCCTTGAACCGGTTCTAACCCCTGCTCACAACAACTAGCCTTTACTTACTCATTCATACAGTCTCAAACATGCACATTCATACAAGCAAACTAAACTTCAAGGCAAGGCTTATATTCCCCCTCAGCCCTCACACACCTCTTTGTCATGAGCAATGAGCTGGGTCTTGACATGGCCTGATACGAGGTTGACTCTGCCCAGCACCTGGCCAGTCTCCAACCCCCAGATAGTACAGGTGGTGTCAATGCTGGAGGTGCCTGTAGTGGACAGATCAGAAACAGCCGGCGCTTATTAGAGACAAGCTTATTTTATACCCAGGCATCTATTTCCTTTATGCAGACAGCTCAATAAAATGTTGAAAATACTACCAGTATAAACATTATAATAACAAATCCATTGCAGATCAGACTTGCAAAGGCTGCCTATCATATAACCCCCATTTCACGCTTTAGCCCCATGAATTTGATGCCATGGCTAGCAACGATGACAGAATAAATAAATAAAACGTTTTTAATGGAAGACTGTGGGAATATCAGAGCTGTGTCCATGGTAACCTTGTAAACAATTTATTTAGACTCAGCATTTATTTGAAACAGGCGTTTATTTGCTGAAATATTTGCCAATGACCGGCTTAACATTTAAGTCATTTAGCAGACTATTAAAAGGGACAGGCAGCTATTTGAGATTGCATTTAATTGTTTTACTCTGACAAACCAATAGGCTATATGCTAGAGCTGGGCGATAAACACAAAAATCAATGTCACAATAAATTGACTAAATGATCACGATAACGTGAACGACAAGTTTATAACATTAATGTGCACCACAGTTATTTTGTTTATCTTACCCTTAAAACTACTACTTTGAATGTTGTAGCTATCAATTGTCGAATTAACAATCACCCATATTAGCAAACTTATTTAATTTGAAACTTCACATTTCTCTACTAGGACCCTATAGGTTATTTACTGTAATGAAAAGAAAAGCAAAATGTCCACGATAAGTGGTCGGTGTGGATTATTTTCAGTTTATTGTCCCAGCTCTACTATATGCATATGCCCCATCTCTTACCCAGTAGATTAGGATCCACTTCATTCCAGTCAAACGAGGTGAGTGGGGCACAGAAGTCAGAGTTCTTGTTGTTATTCAGCAAACATTCCAGACGCGTCTCTGTGTCACTGACCTAAGGGGTAAGATTTAACAAGCCATGCATGAGATGCTATACAACTACTTAGAAAAGAAGAGTCCCCCCTGGGCAAGTAACTGAGCTAGAGTGCAACTCCAGATGCAGCAAGAGGGAGGAGGGATACAATAGTTAGAATAGGGCGCAGGCCAGGCAGCGCCCAACATATGACATTTATTATCACCTCGTATTGGACGAATAATTTTTCTTCAACGAGGCGGCCGCAAAGGATATCCTACAGACACCAGACAAGGCCCAAATCCCCGTCATTCGCATGAGGAAGAGACGGAGATATCGTGGACTTAGGTCGGGGTGCCTTGTAAGGATCCGACGACGAGCGAGTAAACTGCCGCTCCCATCAATCCTATTAGCCAATCTTCAATCATTGGAAAATAAATTGGATGACCTAAGATTACGGTTATCCTACCAACGGGACATTAAAAACTGTAATATCTTATGTTTCACCGAGTCGTGGCTGAACGACGACATGGATAACATACAGCTAGCGGGCAATACGCTACATCGGCAGGATAGAACGGCTGACTCCGGTAAGACAAGGGGTGGCGGTCTGTGTATATTTGTAAACAACAGCTGGTGCACAAAATCAAATACTAAGGAAGTCTCGAGGTTTTGCTCGCCTGAGGTAGAGTAACTTATGATAAGCTGTAGACCACACTATTTACCAAGAGAGTTTGTGTCTATATTTTTCATAGCTGTCCATTTACCACCACAAACCAATGCTGGCATTAAGATTGCACTGAATGAGCTGTATAAGGCCATAAGTCAACAGGAAAACGCTCATCCAGAGGCAGCGCTCCTAGTGGCCGGGGACTTTAATGCAGGGAAACTTAAATCCGTTCTACCTAATTTCTACCAGCATGTTAAATGTGCAACCAGAGGGAAAAAAAAAAACTCTTGACCACCTTTACTCCACACACAGAGACACATACAAAGCTCTCCCTTGCCCTCCATTTGGCAAATCTGACCATAACTCTATCCTCCTGATTCCTGCTTATAATAAAAAACTAAAGCAGGAAGCACCAGTGACTCGGTTAATAAAAAAGTGGTCAGATGACGCAAATGCTAAGCTACAGGACTGTTTTGCTAGCACAGACTGGAACATGTTCCGGGATTCTTCAGATAGCATTGAGGAGTACACCACATCAGTCACTGGCTTCATCAATAAGTGCATCGATGATGTCGTCCCCACAGTGACCGTACGTACATACCCCAACCAGAAGCCATGGATTACAGGAAACATCCACACTGAGCTAAAGGGTAGAGCTTCCGCTTTCAAGGAGCGGGACTCTAACCCGGGCGCTTATAAGAAATCCCGCTATGCCCTCCGACGAACCATCAAACAGGCAAAGAGTCAATACAGAACTAAGATTGAATCGTACTACAGCGGCTCTGACGCTCGTCGGATGTGGCAGGGCTTAAACTATTACAGACTACAAAGGGAAGCACAGCCGCGAGCTTCCCAGTGACACAAGCCTACCAGACGAGCTAAACCACTTCTATGCTCGCGTCGAGGCAAGCAACACTGAAGCATGCATGAGAGCACCAGCTGTTCCGGATGACTATGTGATCACGCTCTCCGTAGCCGATGTGAGTAAGACTTTTAAGCAGGTCAACATTCACAAGGCCGCAGGGCCAGACGGATTACCAGGACGTGTACTCCGAGCATGTGCTGACCAACTGGCAAGTGTCTTCACTGACATTTTCAACATGTCCCTGACTGAGTCTGTAATACCAACATGTTTCAAGCAGACCACCATAGTCCCCGTGCCCAAGGACACTAAGATAACCTGCCTAAATGACTACTGACCCGTAGCACTGACGTCTGTAGCCATGAAGTGCTTTGAAAGGCTGCTCATGGCTCACATCAACACCATTATCCCAGAAACCCTAGACCCACTCCAATTTGCATACCGCCCCAACAGATCCACAGATGATGCAATCTCTATTGCACTCCACACTGCCCTTTCCCACCTGGACAAGAGGAACACCTACGTGAGAATGCTATTCATTGACTACAGCTCAGCATTCAACACCATAATGCCCTCAAAGCTCATCACTAAGCTAAGGATCCTGGGACTAAACACCTCCCTCTGCAACTGGATCCTGGACTTCCTGACGGGCCACCCCCAGGTGGTAAGGGTAGGTAACAACACATCTGCCACACTGATCCTCAACACGGGGGCCCCTCAGGGGTGCGTGCTCAGTCCCCTCCTGTACTCCCTGTTCACCCATGACTGCATGGCCAGGCACGACTCCAACACCATCATTAAGTTTGCCGACGACACAACAGTGGTAGGCCTGATCACCGACAACGATGAGACAGCCTATAGGGAGGACACAACAACCTCTCCCTCAACGTGACCAAGACAAAGGAGATGATTGTGGACTACAGGGAAAAAAAGAGGCCTGAGCACGCCCCCATTCTCATCGACGGGGCTGTAGTGGAACAGGTTGAGAGCTTCAAGTTCCTTGGTGTCCACATCAACAAACTATCATGGTCCAAACACACCAAGACAGTCGTGAAGAGGGCACGACAAAGCCTATTCCCCCTCAGGAGACTGAAAAGATTTGGCATGGGTCCTCAGATCCTCAAAAAATTATACAGCTGCACCATCGAGAGCATCCTGACTGGTTGCATCACCGCCTGGTATGGCAACTGCTTGGCCTCCGACCGCAAGGCACTACAGAGGGTAGTGTGTACGGCCCAGTACATCACTGGGGCCAAGCTTCCTGCCATCCAGGACCTCTATACCAGGCGGTGTCAGAGGAAGGCCCTCAAAATTGTCAAAGACTCCAGCCACCCTAGTCATAGACTGTTCTCTCTGCTACCACACGGCAAGTGGTACCGGAGTGCCAAGTCTAGGTCCAAAAGACTTCTCAACAGCTTCTACCCTCAAGCCATAAGACTCCTGAACAGCTAATCATGGCTACCCGAACTATTTGCACTGCCCCCCCCACCCCATCTTTTTACGCTGCTGCTACTCTGTTAATTATTTATGCATAGTCACTTTAACTCTACCCACATGTACATATTACTTCAACTACCTCAACTAGCCGGTGCCCCCGCACATTGACTCTGCACCGGTACCCCCCTGTATATATAGCCTCCCTACTGTTATTTTATTTTACTTCTGCTCTTTTTTTCTCAACACTTTTTTGTTGTTGTTTTATTTTACTTTTTTATTAAAAAGGTCTGTAAGTAAGCATTTCACTGTAATGTCTGCACCTGTTGTATTCGGCGCATGTGGCCAATAAAATTTGATTTGATTTGATGTTTACGTATGATTTAGTATCAAGGAGGCTGTGGGTGCATGCATACCCTCCAGATGCGCAGGTAGTCCCCGCTAGTGGCAAGCAGATCTGGGTAAACACCCTTGCTGTCCGGGATCCACATGATCTTGGTGGTGGGGTAGGGGTGGTCAAAGGTGTTCCTGCAGATGAACTCTGAACTCTCCTCCTCCAGACCCACAATCTGCACCTGAAGACAAACAATCATTAAATCAGAAACCGCTCGATATACTATTTAATAAGTAACAAATTACTCAGAGCTTAAACACACTTCATACTGTTTATAGTCACTTTTTGGTAATGTTCATTCTCTGTGGGTGAGATCTTACAACATAGAAGCGAAGATCTGTTCTGGGTTCTGTTCATACCCAAGATCTGTTCTGGGTGGCCCACATCACAGCATTGTGGGATTCACGGTGGTCCCAACTAATTCGTTATGGTCCTGCAATAGGACTCGTTAACAAAAATGTACAGTTCATCTTCTCACTCACCTTATTGTTATATTCTTCAACGAAACTTCCAAGGGCCAGGCGAAAGCGCTTGTCCGGACGAACGCTCCAGTTCATTGCATACACCGTCCATGGCGCTTCGTATTTGTAGATCTCTTTTCGCTTACCGTGGAGCGACATAGCTCAATAAACGAGATCTTATATAAAATCCTTAGCTATAAAAAATATATATATAAACAACTGTTTCCTTGGAACAAAATATACCCCAAGGCTCGTTAAAGACTTTCCGAATTGAACAGTTCAAATGACAAAGGCTGTCAAACGACAGCTAGCTAGCTAACTGTCGTTAGTTATGGATGCTACACCTGCCCAGCTAACGTCATTAGCTAGCTAGTAGCGCGTTGTACAGCGTGATATCTATCTATGTCGGACAACGAAGCTTAAGCTTCGAGGCACTACAGTCTGCATTTGCTATTCGTTTGATTTTGAAGATCCGGATGAGTGAGCCTGCTTTTCGAATTGGGTCCCCTGCTAGCTTTGACCCGACTCCGACTTCAACAACACTGCTGCCGTAACCACAAAGAGGGGTAGGGGGATCACTCTCCTCGAATCTCCTCTCATCGAAGAAAATGTCGGCGGTGTGACGCTAGCTAGCTCATATCAAGGTAGTGTGGTGCACCCGATTAGTCTACAATCACTCCATTAAAAGGTGGAAATCATCATACCAACCACACCATTCTGAAAATATGCTAAAATAATGTTTTACTATTTTAACAGTGTAACCGAAGATTTTTTATAACTAACCCAAGAAAGACAACAGCCTGTCGTTTCCAACGGGAACAAATGAGTTATAGTGGGCAGAGCCAAGCACAAGCAAGCGAGATCCTATTGGCGTGTTGTGGCAAATATTTGCATGTTTCGTTTCGGGAACGCCTACTCTGTGCAATGCGCGTGTGCAATACCTAAATTCGCCATTGCACTCCTTCTAAACAACGCGGAAAGTCTACAAAACTTAGTCCACTCTGTTCATAACTGACTATAGTTTTAAGAACAGAAAACTGTATTGAGATCAAATGTTTCATCGATGAGAAAATGTGCATAATGTTGGCAAAATCTATCTCGTTCCATCTTCTCCCACTGCCGGCCACTGTGCTTCCTCTCACTACCAGGTTACAAAACGTAGGTAACAAAATATTTCTGGGTAGAATCAAAGACAGTACAGTCGGTGGTACAGTATGAATAAAGGCTAATGCCGCGTTCATAACAACTGGGAACTCGAAAAAAACGAGCTCCATCTGGGCAAAATAGTTTTGAAGCGTTATTCAACTCGGAATTCCAAGTCTGAAACTCTGGCATATTTCTAGAGCTCCGACTTTCCGACCCGAAGATCACTGATGTCATTATTTGACCTCGTTTTTTTCTGTGTTCCCAGTGGTCTTGAAAGCACCATAAAACGTATTCTCCAATAGAAACCCACAATCACACTTGTAGGCGATGTTGGTAGGCTAGCTAAGCTCATGCGTAGAAAAACGTCAAAGGGTCTAACCGTATTCTCGCGCCGAACTGCGCATGTGCTTATAAATAAAAGGGACTCCTTCGCTATAAAGTATTTTTTTTACGAAAATTAAAAAGTGTCAGTATGTCACTTTCACGAGGTTGGAGTAATAACATGTTTATTACACTTAAGACATTGGTTAGAATGTAGTTTGTGCCTTTAGATTTCGAGAAAACTAACAACAAGGAAGAATATTTCACTTCTCTCATTGACTTCTCAAACCCCGGCCTGGTCTGTTTGGTCTGTTTCGCAAGCGGTCCCGGAAATCTTGCGATGTTGCGCCTCTGGGTTTAGAAACTCTGTGGTAGAATCTACTGTCAACGGGGGTATATACGGCGGAGCTGATGGCCATGTTGGCCTTGCAGTGGATGGAGGAAGTCAAACAAGACAGAGTAGTTATTTGTTCTGATTCATGTGCAGTGTTAATGAGTCTCCAGTTCTTTAGCTCACGTAGCAGACAAGACCTGCTTTATGAGGTGCTACAAACCCATGGCAGGATTAAACAGATGGATATTCAGATAAGATTTACTTGGGTCCCAGCCCATGTGGGGGTGGAAGGGAACGAGGTAGTAGATGAACAGGCTAAACAAGCACTTAGTAGTGGGGATATTGAAGTTTCAATGAGCAAGGCAGAGGCAAAAATACTGATATTTACAATGATGGTGCAGAGATGGCAGGAGCAGTGGAATATAGATAATAAGGGAAGGCATTTATTTCAAGTACAGAGGAAAGTCGGGGAGGGGAGGACTGCAGGAAGGGACAGAAGAGAGGAGGCTATTTTTACAAGATTACGGGTGGGACACAGCCAGTTGAATAAGACATTAAATGTGATAGGAAAGCATCCAACAGGAAAGTGTGATTATTGTCAGGAAACAGAGACAGTGGAGCATGTATTGCTACAGTGTGGGCAGTATCAGAGGGAAAGAGAGAGGATGAGATCTAGTATGAGGGAGAAGGGGATACAGGACATTAGTTTAAATAGTATATTGAGTAGAACGTCATTAGATATAGTCTCAAATATTTTGTTATCTTTTTTAAGAGCAACGTGGCTGGCAGGTAGGATTTCGTTTTTCCCTGTCTCTGGCCCACCCTCCAGTACAGTAGGTGGCGGTAATGCACCATTACGTTGGATGCCAACCGCCGATAAACCCCACTGAAGAAGAAGTACTGTCAACGGGACTGTGGGGAACAGTAAAGCTAACGACGGCCCTTAGCGTTTTCCAGAGGAACATATTTTAACACTCCATAGGTATTCATACTCTTAACGTTACATGTGAAGTTTTGTTTTAGTTTGATTCAACTTGATAAATCAGGCTATTGTTATGTTGTCAACTACTTATTAGATGTAGCGTGGCAGGAACTTGCTCGGTTAGAATGGGAAGAGATGGGGGGATGGGTCACGTTGGCTAATCAGTCAGTGATCTAGTTAGCTAGTTAGACTGTTAACGTTAGTTAGTTTGTTAACCAGAAATCGTCAATTGTGGGTGCATATTTGCTAGCTCATTGTAATCTTAGCCATTTGAAATGTTCTATGATTTCAGATAGCCACTCCAAGCTAGCTAGCTAACCAGAGTCAGAGAGTGGATTTGGCTAGCAGAAGACAGCTAGCTAGCTCAGCTGAATGCTAAGCAAAATATTTGTAGCCGTGGTTTGTTAAACTGGTAGTTAACTAACATAATCGGACTACGGTGTCGAGAATGATGATGTCTATAAAGAAAGTAACGTGAGCCATCAATTTTTAGAATATGAATGATTTGTGAATGATTAGGGTCACTGGGTCATTACCAAAAACCACAGTCCAGTCAGATTGATGGGCAGAATCTATGGCGTTTAGACTGACACATTTTTGATTTAGGCCATTTGACAGTATCCAGAGCTAGCTACCACTCTCTTGGATGTTGACCTTTTCAGTGGGAGGGGAAGTAAGAGACAGGTTTTGCTGAGACATGAAGTGGTAGTTATGTGTTGTAAACAAACAAGTTACTATCCTGGGCATGTAGCTAAATCAACTCACTGTAATGCAGATGTTTGTTGGAAACGTGTGACAACCAGCTGTGTGAGACTGACTGAGGCATTCTGTCTAGTGCTGGTTTGACCTTCTGTCACCTTCAAACCTACCTGGTTTGACCTGGATTTACCTTTCCCTCCTTATCTTCCTCCTGCTCGTCTCCTCCTCCTCTCCTCTACCGGCCTGTGCTGGCGCAGCTTCAACCATGAGGAGTGTGTACCTCCTGCTGCCCGCGCTGCTGCTTCTCCTGGCACTGCCTGTCTCCAGGGGACGCTACAACGATGACTTTGACGATGGGGAAGACCTGGCAGACTTTGCAGACGACAATGACTTTGCTGAGTTTGAGGATGTGAGTGAGGACACTGCGGCCGAGCCAGAGACGGCCCCTCCAACCCGTGCGGCCCCCCCTGCTCAGCCTGCTGAGGAAGATGAGGACGAGGCCACAGTGGAGCTGGAGGAAGACGGACAGGAGGACGGCTTTGAGGACTCCGATACACAGGTTAGGGGCTGCAGTGGCCTGGTAGCTTGCATATGACCAGGGACAACTTGGTTGGCACACTATCCCATGCGCTGTATTTTTGGTTTGTGCCAGAACTAATCCATATTTCATTTTGTATTGCTGTAGGATCAAGACATGTACAGCAAGTACGATCCAGACGAGTTTGATGGCATGGAGAAGCCCAGCCAGTCCCTCAAAGACCCCCTGATCATCCACACAGTAAGTTCACTGTTAACACCAGACCAGTGACCATTAAGAAGCCATTGATTCCAGACCTATTTCTTAAACTGTACTCTGACAATCAAGAAGCACATCCCTCTTAAATGTGAGTGCCAAGATGAAACATCTTTAATGTTGTGGTTGTCATGGTGATGAAGTCTGTCCGTCTCCCCCTTCCAGGTGCCGGCCCACCTTCAGAACAGCTGGGAGAGCTACTACATGGAAATTCTAATGGTGACGGGCCTGCTGGCCTATATCATGAACTACATCATCGGCAAGAACAAGAACAGCCGTCTGGCCACAGCCTGGTTCAACTCCCACAGAGAGCTGCTGGAGAGCAACTTTGCCCTGGTGGGTGACGATGGCACCAGTAAGGATGCAGTGAGCACCGGGAAGCTGAACCAGGAGAATGAGCACATCTACAACCTGTGGTGCTCAGGTCGAGTGTGCTGTGAGGGCATGCTCATCCAGCTTAAGGTATTTACAGTGTGTGTGAGTAAGAGAGAGAAAGTGTTTGTGTGAGAACTAGCTGCTGTTTCAATGTTTTCTCTGGTCTGTTCCAGTTTGTGAAGAGGCAGGACCTGCTGAATGTACTGGCCAGGATGATGAGGCCAGTCTGTGATCAAGTGGTGGGTACATATGATGCCTGCATACATGTACATCACCAGTCACATTGTCAATAACCTAAGCGCTTACAAATACTTTCCTAAAGGTAGACCTTTTCTGTTGTCTGACTTGTTATATATTTCTGTCTCTTTTTCTTTGTAGCAAATCAAAGTTACTCTGAATGATGAGGACATGGATACGTTTGTGTTTGCTGTGGGCACCAAAAAGGCCATGGCCCGGATGCAGAAGGAGATGCAGGACTTGGTGAGGGGCGGGCCAACATCACTATACTCTCATTCATTCAGCCATCCAGACACTATTAACCATCTATGAGCCTCAGGCTGTGTGGGTGTATGTATTGACCCGTCTTTGTTTGTGTATCTGTCTGTCCCCAGAGTGAGTTCTGCAGTGACAAGCCCAAGTCAGGGGCCAAGTACGGCCTTCCTGAGCTCCTGGCCATCCTGACAGAGATGGGTGAGGTCACGGACGGTGTGATGGACAGCAAAGTGAGCAGGGGAGGGGACTTCTATTGTGGCCTACTCAATACAGTGGGGACTTTGTCACTAGGCTATTGCAGAGTGTTCTCTCACTGTTTGTAGTGGGAGAATATGACACATTGAGTACGGTGTGCTACAATTTGATAGACCCCTTGTTTTTCTTTCCTTCACCCTTCCACTGTCTTTGTCTTTCAGATGGTTCATTATATCACCAACCATGCTGACAAGATAGAGTCCATCCATTTCTCTGACCAATTTTCTGGTCCAAAAGTTGTGCAAGAGTAAGTGCGCCTGCAAGCAAGACAGTTTTTCCACAACATCTTAACTATATCACACAAATGTCTTTACTCCACTCCTATCCCTGGTCTTGTATTAAAGCCTCTGTTATGAAATGATCTACAGCCGTTTCTGTTACCTGAAGCTGCCTTCTCAACCCTGTTGTGTTTCAGAGATGGACAGCCCTTAAAGCTGCCTGAGACCAAGAAGACGCTGCTGTTTACATTTAATGGTGAGCCAATTGTCTCCGCTTGAAATGCTTTCCAACACTGGCATGCAGCCGATTCGCCATATTTCATACATAGTGACTGAATGAAATGTTAACAAATATTTTATTGTGTTTGTGCATGTAGTGCCTGGCATGGGCAACACGTCTCCTAAAGACATGGACACTCTGCTACCCCTGATGAACATGGTCATCTACAGCATCGACAAGGTCAAGAAGCTCCGCCTCAACAGAGAGGTGAGAATGGCAGGATAATTAGACTACTCCTACTACACCCTCAATCTGGCCTATTGGCAGATGTTTTATTTACTTTTATCTACAGTCTTCCTTTCATCCATCACTGCATCTCCTTTCTCACCCTCTATCTCTCCCTGTGTCTGTCCTCCAGGGAAAACAGAAGGCAGATAAGAACCGTGCCCGTGTGGAGGAGAACTTCCTGAAGCAGACCCACAATCAGCGCCAGGAGGCTGCTCAGACCCGGCGGGAGGAGAAGAAAAGGGCTGAGAAGGAGAGGATCATGAGCGAGGAGGATCCTGAGAGACAGCGCCGCCTGGAGGTCAGTTCCACCACAGCACCCCAGCAGAATAACACCCAATGGAACACTACACACAGGAACACAGCACACTGTTCATCTTGGCCTTCTTTGTACCTCTTGCTCTAACTGCCTCTATGGTCTTTCCCCCTTTTACAGGAGGCTGCTCAACGTCGTGATCAGAAGAAGATTGAGAAGAAGCAGATGAAGATGAAGCAGATCAAAGTCAAAGCCATGTGAGGATAGACAGCTACAGGGATTCAATCACACAGCTCAGACGGTTTCCACTGCTTCCATCCATCTCTCTCACTTCAACGCCCAGTTCTGGCTCACAGGCTCACACAGATTCCCATCTCCATGGGTGTCAAGCTTAGCTGTTTCTGTTCTCATGGAAACACTTTGTTCAATCAGTGGGGTTTTCCTTGGCTGTGAGTGAGCTGCTAGTGACAAGCGAGAGGGACAGAGGAGTTTTGCATATCAAGTCTGTCGCCACGAAGACCCGTGCCAGTTTTTTTTCTGTTTTGACTTTTTCTTCTGCCTAGGTCTTCATTGCTCTTTTCAAAGCAAGTCGGCTCAATGAGCTTTTTAATCCAATCGACAGGGATTTGGGGGTGCACCTCTCGGTGGTAAATAAAATGCTCATATTTTAAAAGGCATGAAGGAATGTGAGGCTTGTTTCATGAGTTATTAAGTTAACACTGGATGCTGCAAGACGAGATGCAAAGTATCCCATTTTAATTTATATCTAAGTGACAGTCCTTACAAGCTATGTCTGTCTCTGGTGAATTTCTAAGCAAACATAATAAAATGCACTGGAAGCTATTGAACAATCTCTAATTTCTGTCTTCTTTAGAAGAGTTGTGTCTTGTGGTTATAAATGGACCAATGGGACGGTAAGACTAGCTCTAAATTTCACCCAAAGATTGAGTCTGCAGTCTATGGGAGCTGCTGGAGGAGATTGAGTTTGTCTAGGCTGCTGGGTTCAAACTAAACTGTCCTGGTGGGTTCAAAATGTCAAGTCCCTTGTCTCCTATATTCTACAGTAGCCTTTTTTGGAAAACACAGTTTCTGCCAGCATGTTGATTGTTATTGGGGAGTAAGTATTGGGTAATTTTTATGACCTAGTACTGTAGTTTAACAAATGCCCACCTAGGAAGTCATGTTGAGGACAATTTAATTAAGGACGCTTGTCACTGAAAAAAAACATCTGTGCAGTAATACAAACACTATTTTCCATGTCTTCCTGCCCGCTCTTGTTTATTTTTAGCAGAAAAGTAGTTATTTATCACACCCAGATAAGGATGGTCAGCATTGGACAGTATGTTACCAATGCAGAGAGCTGAATGGCAGCATCTGATGCCAACTGATAATGTACTGTACTACATCTTGGCCAGGAAGGGTTCCTTGATGTTGTCATTGAGGTGAGCGAAGGTCACTTCCTTGAGGGGAATGGGGCCCACGTAGAACTCATCTAGCTTTGGGAACAAGAGACAGAAATTAGAGATGGCATGCTACAGAGCGGCTTTTAGAGAGTGAGGCTGGTGTGAGTGTGTGATGAGTCAGCAAGTTAGTTAGGGTTCTAACCTTGAACTTAGGCACTGGCAGGGCCATCTCTGTGTGCCTGGGCATGATCCTACGAGGTCGAGGGTCCCGCAAATCTCCCACTGGGGGGAACCCCGAGTCCTGGAGAAATGACAAGTAAAAGTTACAATACAGGACATGTACAACAATCCTACTCCGACATAACAAAAGTAATGTAAAAACAATACCAACCGGCACACTGAAATCAATCAATCTACACACAATACCCAATAATGACAAAGCGAAAACAGGTTTTAAGAAATGTTTGCAAATGTAATTAAAATAAAAACAGAAATACATGTTGTGGAAATCCTACACAGGGACACTCAAAGTCAATCTAAAATGAATCATTGTTTATTACCAGCATGCTGGAGAGGTTCGAACCAACTCAATGCACCAAGTACACATGTTGATCAGGAGATCCACCCGGGGCAGTCCCGTTAGTTCTCTTATATACAGACAAGTTATATTTGCATGATTTAACTTATTCATCATTCATAATTAATTAATTATTAACATTTGCTTCCTTCATGTGACCGACCAATACTGGGTCATGCATGTGACAGACCAATACTTCACGAGGCTTCTTCTCTCTAAGCTGAGACCTTGAAACTGAGATATCCCTTTCTCAAAACAAGGTTCTGGGCGTACTGCCAAATTGCAGATACTGATAGTGAGGATTCGTTCAATCAGTCACTTGCATGAACACAGATATTGGTTATTAGAAAAGCACATGAATAGAACCCAGAAATTGGTAATTAGAAAAGCACAAACATAAAGATGTCCATCACATACCTTAGAAGTATTCAGACCCTTTGCTATGAGACTCGAAATTTAGCTCAGGTGCATCCTGTTTCCATTGATCATCCTTGAGATGTTCCTACAACTTGATTGGAGTCCACCTGTGGTAAATGCAATTGATTAGACATTATTTGGAAAGGCACACACCTGTCTATATAAGGTCCCACAGTTGACATGTCAGAGCAAAAACCAAGCCATGAAGTCAAGGAATTGTCCGTAGAACTCCGAGACAGGATTGTATCGAGGCACATTACATTTACATTACATTTTAGTCATTTAGCAGACGCTCTTATCCAGAGCGACTTACAGGAGCAATTAGGGTTAAGTGCCTTGCTCAAGGGCACATTTACGTCATTTAGCAGACGCTCTTATCCAGAGCGACTCACAAATTGGTGCATTCACCCTATTGCCAGTGGGATAACCACTTTACAATTTTGGGGGGGGGGGGGGGGGGGGGGGTAGAAGGATTACTTTATCCTATCCCAGGTATTCCTTAAAGAGGTGGGGTTTCAAATGTCTCCGGAAGGTGGTGAGTGACTCCGCTGTCCTGGCGTCGTGAGGGAGCTTGTTCCACCATTGGGGTGCCAGAGCAGCGAACAGTTTTGACTGGGCTGAGCGGGAACTATGCTTCCGCAGAGGAAGGGGAGCCAGCAGGCCAGAGGTGGATGAACGCAATGCCCTCGTTTGGGTGTAGGGACTGATCAGAGCCCGAAGGTACAGAGGTGCCGTTCCCCTCACTGCTCCATAGGCAAGCACCATGGTCTTGTAACGGATGCGAGCTTCAACTGGAAGCCAGTGGAGTGTGCGGAGGAGGGGGGTGACGTGAGAGAACTTGGGAAGGTTGAACACCAGACGGGCTGCGGCATTGGGTACCAAAAATGTCTGGGCAAGGGTACCAAAAAACCTCTGCAGCATTGAAGGTCCCCAAGAACACAGTGGCCTCCATCATTCTTAAATGGAAAAAGTTTGGAACCACCAAGACTCTTCCTAGAGCAAGCCACCCGGCCAAACTGAGCAATCGGGGGAGAAGGGTCTTGGTCAGGGAGGTCCCGAGAACCCGATGGTCACTCTGACAGAGCTCCAGAGTTCCTCTGTGGAGATGGGGGAACGTTCTAGAAGGACAACCATCTCTGCAGCACTCCACCAATCAGGCCTTTATGATAGTGGCCAGACGGAAGCCACTCCTCAGTAAAAGGCACATGACAGCCCACTTGGAGTTTTCCAAAAGGCACCTAAAGGACTCTCAGACCATGAGAAACAAGATTCTCTGGTCTGATGAAACCAAGATTGAACTCTTTGGCCTGAATGCCAAGCGTCACATTTGGAGGAAATCTGGCACCATCCCTACAGTGCTGTGGGGATGTTTTTCAGCGGCATGGACTGGGCAACTAGTCAGGATCGAGGGAAAGATGAACGAAGCAAAGTACAGAGCTCCTTGATGAAAACCTGCTCCTGAGTGCTCAGGACCTCAGGCCGGGGCGAAGGTTCACCTTCCAACAGGACAACGATCCTAAGCACACAGCCAAGACAACGCAGGAGTGGCTTCGGGACAAGTCTCTGAATGTCCTTGAGAGGCCCAGACAGAGCCTGGACTTGAACCCAATCGAACATCTCTGGAGAGACCTGAAAATAGCTGTGCAGCGAAGCTCCCAATCCAACCTGACAGAGCTTGAGAGGATCTGCAGAGAAGAATGGGAGAAACTCCCCAAATACAGGTGTGCCAAGCTTGTAGCGTCATACCCTAGAAGACTCCAGACTGTAATCGCTACCAAAGGTGCTTCAACAAAGTACTGAGTAAAGGGTCTGAATACTTATGTAAATTTGATATTTCAGTTTTTATTTGGAATACATTAACAAAAATTTCTAAACCTGTTTTTGCTTTGTCATTATGGGGTATTGTGTGTAGATTGAAGGGGGGAAACAATTTAATCAATTTTAGAATAAGTCTGTAACGTAACAAAATGTGGAAAAAGTAAAGGGTTCTGAATACTTTCTGAATGCACTGTATCATGTATATTTTGTTGTTAACCCTCCGGATGGCTGGGTCTTGGATGAGCTTATAACTCTTCCATTGCAAACTGAATGCTCGTTGTGTATCAGGCTCACTGTCTGGATCCATGCTATAACTGTAAGAGTGAAGTGGGAGATGCAACTTAATTAAGTGTTTTGTCAGTAATGTTAAAAAATATATATATCGTCATAGCAGGCACAAGTATACATGATGCTAGCTACATACTCATATTTGATTAAGAAAACAACCATGTTTTAGCAAACCTTTGATAAAACAGAGCACATCAATGTAGCTTCAAACGTCCTGCTAGCCTACCTCTGGCATACTGTAAATTTGCCCCCGCCTGGTGCTGCTGTCAAAACAATGGTCACGTCACACACTAGCTAGTTGTGTTTTGCTGAGGAGTATTTTTTTGTCCGCTCACACAGGAGTAATATGTTTTTTTCAGGGGGTTCTGCAGCAACCCTACTTCGCGCGGCTATGTACATAACAAGTGTGACGTGTGTAATCATGTGTAAGTTTCTGGTTTCACCGCGGTGCCATGTTTGGCCACATGATGGCAGTGTTGTCACTTAATCGTTTCCTTGCGCAGTAGTTATTTTGAAACCTCTTTGGTACTCCGTATGCATGAGATAACTAAGTAAAGAAGTTCAAAAATGGAGGCATGAGGAACATTAAATTATGACATTTTCTGTGTCATCCTGTAAATTATATTATGTGGAATGGGTATCTCTAAGCCCACGGCTGATAAATTGATCAGCAGATTCGCCACAAGTAGTCATTAACAAGAGAAGGCACATTCGAATAGATTTTAAAATCATATAGCTACCTGTATGTAACAGGAAAAAAAATAGTTAATATATTTTTAGTTGGTGACGATTGTATTTTGACTGAGTTGACTGTTCCCTTGTCATTGATTTTCGTGGATCTGGATGGATTGTGAAGAAAGTGCTGACTTCGCATGACGAGATGTATTCGCAAAGACTGATGGAGTGCAGGCGAGGCTTTCAGGTTTGTTACGCGATGGCCGCTCGTTTAACATTATTTTGTTTTAGGGCATAAACAAAGATTTCGTGAAATATTACGCTTTGTATGGAAACTACATAGCACCGGGAATGTATCGACGTCGTTATAACTGAGCTATTGTGCCCACGGGCAAAAACGGAGTTACCTTTTCAGTTTGGTACTCAGTGTTTTTCCTCGTTCGTCCTAGGCCTACTAGCTTCACTTGAGCGGCGGGTTGGTAGTTTCGGATGAAGCGGGCAATCGGTTTGAAAGAGGCGGGTTCGGTTAGGCGAGTGAAGGACGTTTAGCAAGCTAACTTAAGTCGATCGTTGTACAGAAAGAATGTTTTGAATAACCACTATCATATTTACGAAACTTAACTAGCTAGCCGCCCGGCGAGTTGGGGTTTGAATAGCTAGCTAACTTGTTAAATTGAACTGAGTACGGTAGCAGCTAACGCTAGTTACACATGCTAACCTAGTTTAGATATAGCTAGTTAGTCAAGGTGATCCGAAGTATCTACCTATCTAACGTTACAATAAGTTACCGTAGTTATCTAAATCATAACTAGCGGATTGAAAATAGTGGAATGCTATCTAAAAACAACTATCTAGCGTGTGACGTTGTCATTGTTTTGACAGCAGCACCAGGCTGGAGCGAGTTTACAGTATGCCAGAGGTAGGTTAGCATGACAAGAATTGACGTTTGACGCTACGTTGATGTGATCTGTTTTATCAAAGGTTTGCTAAAACATGGTTATGTTTTTTAATCAAATACGACTATGTAGCTAGCATCATGTATACTTGTGCCTGTTATGACCGGAAAAAATGATGGTAACGTTACTGACAACACTTAATTCAGTTACATCTCCCACTTCACTCTTCCAGTTATAGCATGGATCCAGACAGTGAGCCGGATACACAACGAGCTCTCAGTTTGCAATGGAAGAGCTATAAGCTCGTCCAAGACCCAGCCATCCGGAGGGTTAACAACAAAATATATCGATATGATGGGGTACATTTCAGTGTGCCGGTTGGTATTGTTTTTACATTACTTTTGTTATGTCGGAGTAGGGTTGTTGTACATGTCCTGTATTGTAACTTTAACTTGTCATTTCTCCAGGACTCGGGGTTCCCCCCAGTGGGAGATTTGCGGGACCCTCGACCTCGTAGGATCTGGTCCAGGCACACAGAGATGGCCCTGCCAGTGCCCTAAGTTCAAGGTTAGAACCCTAACTAACTTGCTGACTCATCATACACTCACACCAGCCTCACTCTCTAAAACGCTGCTCTGTAGCATGCCATCTCTAATTTCCTTCTCTTGTTCCCAAAGCTGGATGAGTTCTACGTGGGCCCCATTCCCCTCAAGGAGGTGACCTTCGCTCGCCTCAATGACAACATCAAGGAACCCTTCCTGGCCGAGATGTGCGCCAAGTTTGGAGAGGTGGAGGAGATGGAGATATTGTTTCACCCCAAGACCCGTAAGCACCTGGGCCTGGCCCGCGTGCTCTTCACCAGCACCAGGGGGGCCAAGGACACGGTCAAACACCTGCACAACACCACCGTCATGGGCAACATCATTCACGCTCAGCTGGACATCAAAGGTATGACATGGCTTTATGTCTGTGGGGATTTGATTTTATATAAAAAATCTATTTTTTATACAAATAACTTCTATTGCAATTATTATTGAAGAATAGAGATGTTTTATGGAGACATGGTTATTGTCACATTAGTATTTTGCAAAGATATTAGCAACATCCTTGTCTTATGGGTATGTTTGTTTGTGTGTATCTGCAGGCCAGCAGAGGCAGAAGTATTATGACCTGATAGTGAGTGGATCCTACACACCCCAGACTGTGCCCACAGGAGGCAAGGCCCTGACAGAGCGGTTCCAGCCCCCAGCTCCCACACAACCAGACACGGTACACTCACCAAGGGCTCATCACAACCATCCTACTGACATTTTCATGGAGGATTTACCTTTATGGTCCATTATGCTTGAGACTCTTTCATAATTTTCTACTGTGTGATGTCTTTGACTTTCTCTATCTAATTCTTCCATCTTCCTGTTCCTCTCTCTCTGTGCAGTCGTCAGATATCAGGCGGAGACTGTCCTCTGAGATAGCTGGCCTGGCTGTGGGCTTGGCTGCAGGGGTGCCGGCTCTCACTCCTGGGAGCACCACCCCCTGCTCTGTGGACACGGGCTTCAGTGAGCAGCGTCTAGACACGACCCCCTCCTCCATGGGCGGGCCCTACACCCCAGGCTCCTCCGCTTCCTCGCAGGGAGGAGGAACGCCCTACACCCCTCGCTCTGTCTCACAGGACTCGGGCTACGCTGTTGCCAGGTCAGTATTGGGGTACAAACACCCTTCATAATAGCTCAGAGTTGATCATTTATCCAAAGGTTTGTTTGTCATTCCAAAAAATATTTAAAAAAATATTTATTAAGATAGTAATAATCAATGTGGTAACTTGTGTTATATATACACCATCTTTCTCCTTTTGTTTCTTAGACAAGTTGGATACAGTGCTGGCCCATTGACCAGTGGCTACACTTCCCAGGACATGCTTCCCTCCTCCTCCTGCTCCTCCTCTGCTGTCTCCTCCTCAGTTGGGGCATATAAAGCTCCCCGCTACCCGGAGGACCCCCATGCACCTCCGCAAGACCCCTACCAAAGGTGTCGCCCCACGTACCCCCCCACCGGCCCGTTCCGTCCTAACGAGCCCCCGCTCTACCCCACATACCCTAACGCTGGAGGGGCTGGACAGCACATGGCACACCACCCTGCGATGCCTCCCCCACCTCCTGCACCCCAGTACGAGCAGCCCCCTCTGGCAGACAGGGACAGAGAGCGGGACAGGGACTCAGGAGGGCGGTACGGTGCCGGTGGGAATCGGCTCTAGAAGGTCATCTTACCAGGAGGCCAAGTATTCCCACCACTCACATCACTCTGAGAGGGAGAGGGGCTACAGACGGGACAGCCTGGGCTCCAGAGAACACGGCAGACACCGTAACCACCATTCACACAATCACAGCAGCAGTAGTAGCAGCAGCCGACGACGGAGCAGCCACGACCGAGACAGCAGGGAGAGGGACAGAGACAGCGACTACTCAAACAGCTCCGACCCCAGATTCAACGCCAACTCCCACCGCTCCTCCTCCAACAGCCTGTCCCCGCCTCCGTCCGCCTACCCCTCTTACTCCTCCTCCTCCAAAGACCAACCCCCTCCCCACGTCTCCTCCCGCCTGGAGCCCTCCTCAGTGTACCGTGCCCAGTCTAGTGGTGCTGGTTCTGGGGAGAGGGGGTCTGGGTCTGACAACAAGGACCCCCGATCCCACCACACCCCTCTGCCGCCCCCTCCACCTCCTCCCCTCCCCCCTGCCTCTGTGATAGCGGCGGCTGTAGCCGAGACGCTCAGCGCCCTTGACTTTGGCCAGGAGAGCCCAGTCAGAGAGGAGACGTGGACCAAGCCCAAACGCCGGCCCACCACCCCACCTCCCCCTCCTCAGCATCCCTCCACCCCTCCCTCCTCTCCACCCCACTCCTCAATCGCTTCCTCCTCCACTTCACCCTCCTCCACCTCCATCCCTCACCATCTCCCCCTCCTCCACCTCCCTCTCCCCACCCCCCCAGCGAGACTCCTCCTCCCCGGAGCCAGATTCCACCAATGAGAGCCTGCCATTTGTCTACCACAGCAGCAGCTTAGACTCTCGTATTGAGATGCTCTTGAAGGAGCAGAAAGCAAAGTTCTCCTTCCTGGCCTCCGATGAAGATGAGGAGGAGGACAGGAAGGAAGAAAGGCAGAGAGAGAAGGCAGCAGCAGGGGAAGGAGGAGCAGCAGGGGAGGGAGGAGCAGCAGCAGGGGAGGGCAGGAGCAATAAGCAGAGGGAGCAGGATGGGGAGAAAGACAGGCGGAGGAGACAAGGAGGAGATGGTGGAGGCCAGCAGAGGAGGAAAGGAGAGAGAGATAGAGACGGCCGCAGAGGGAGGAAGCAGAGAACAGGGGGAGAGGGGAGGAAGAGTCCCACTGTAGTTGCACCAGCTACCCCCTCCTCCTCCTCCCCACCTTCTCTCCCCGCATCCCCACTACAGATGACCATACTAGTCTCCATGGAACAGGACCTCTGCAGGAGGAGACATCCCAACCTGAGTCTATTGATCCAAGGACCAGACAAGGGGCACACACACCCCCCTACAACGGACAGAGTCAGGTAAGACCATCTTACTCTGTTAATGGAAATATTGTAGGAATCAGATTGTATTGAAACGTTGGTGTATTGTTAGCAGGGATTGTCAGTTGATGCAAAAGTGTGGGAAAATCGTGAATTCTCTCTTTCCTTCATGCAGTCATCCCCTCATTCCTCTGGGGAGGACATGGAGATCTCAGACGAGGATGAGGAACACACCATTACAGCAGTGACCACCCACCACGCCACTCCTTCCTCCATCTCTTCCCCGTCTTCATCCAAGGCCCCCCTGCCCTCCCAGACAGACCCCTCTGCCTCCCCCTCTGACCCCACACAGCACTTTGGCACGTCCATGCCTGCTCCACCCATCCCCTCTTACCCCACTCACCTCCCTCCCCCGGGCTTTTCCCTGCAGCCCCCTCCACCCCCCTGCATCCCCCCACCGCTGGCCCACATGGAGCTGCACCCTGAGTACCCTCCGCCCATGCCCCCACACATGTATGACTATGCCAGCAGTATGGAGCTGATGAACCAGTACAGTGGCGGAGCCCCCATGTCCTTTCAGATGCAGACCCAGATGCTGAGTCGGCTGCACCAGCTGAGGATGTCCTCTTCTAATGGCGCCGCTGCCCCCGGCGACGCCCCCCCTTCAGACTACTACCACTCCATGCCTCCTCCCCCACACCCCCACCACCCTTACATGGACCAAGAGGGGGGTGGCTACGACCAGGACCACCACTACATGCCCCCCCACATGCCCTACGCCTACCCTGGCCCCTCTCAGATGCCCCACCACCACGCCATCCCCCCTCCACACACCGGCTGGCCCCCGCATGTCTTACCCGAACACTACGCGTACCACACCCCGCCGCCCTATGGGACTATGCCTCCTGTGGAGGGAGAGGCCCAGTACGGGGCGGAGGGGGACCCCCAAATGCCCCTGCTAACAGAGAACCCCCACGAGGCCACAGTGCAGCTGGTGCTGGCCACCCTCATCCAGGAGATGAAGAGCATCATGCAGAGGGACCTCAACCGCAAGATGGTGGAGAACATCGCCTTCGGAACCTTCGACGAGTGGTGGGAGCGCAAGGAGACCAAAGCAAAGGTAAGAGAGTGGAACATAGACAGAGCCCTAAACTACGTACCTGGTTTGAGGAGTTAGTGAGGTAACTTTGGTCAACTCGGGATAACTGGAACCATGAAAGTGGCTCACCCTTTAGCCAGGTAAATTTCTATGGCAACGAATCCTTCAGAACTAACCTGCAGGCTAACTCCATTTATCCTGAATGAAGTGTCTACCGTGACCAAATAAATCACATTCCCTCCCTCTCGTAAAGATTGCATCATCACCCCCCTTCATTTATTATCAATAATGGTAGGTTTATTTGAACAGTGAGAGACAGAATAACAACAAAAAAATCCAGAAAAACGCATGTCAAAAATGTTATAAATTGATTTGCATTTTAATGAGGGAAATAAGTATTTGACCCCTCTGCAAAACATGACTTAGTACTTGGTGGCAAAACCCTTGTTGGCAATCACAGAGGTCAGATGTTTCTTGTAGTTGGCCACCAGGTTTGCACACATCTCAGGAGGGATTTTGTCCCATTCCTCTTTGCAGATCTTCTCCAAGTCATTAAGGTTTCGAGCCTGACGTTTGGCAACTCGAACCTTCAGCTCTCTCCACAGATTTTCTATGGGATTAAGGTCTGGAGACTGGCTAGGCCACTCCAGGACCTTAATGTGCTTCTTCTTGAGCCACTCCTTTGTTGCCTTGGCCGTGTGTTTTGGGTCATTGTCATGCTGGAATACCCATCCACGACCCATTTTCAATGCCCTGGCTGAGGGAAGGAGGTTCTCACCCAAGATTTGATGGTACATGGCGCCGTCCATCGTCCCTTTGATGCGGTGAAGTTGTCCTGTCCCCTTAGCAGAAAAACACCCCCAAAGCATAATGTTTCCACCTCCATGTTTGACGGTGGGGATGGTGTTCTTGGGGTCATAGGCAGCATTCCTCCTCCTCCAAATACGGCGAGTTGAGTTGATGCCAAAGAGCTCCATTTTGGTCTCATCTGACCACAACACTTTCACCCAGTTCTCCTCTGAATCATTCAGATGTTCATTGGCAAACTTCAGACGGCCCTGTGTATGTGCTTTCTTGAGCAGGGGGACCTTGCGGGCGCTGCAGGATTTCAGTCCTTCACGGCGTAGTGTGTTACCAATTGTTTTCTTGGTGACTATGGTCCCAGCTGCCTTGAGATCATTGACAAGATCCTCCCGTGTAGTTCTGGGCTGATTCCTCACCGTTCTCATGATCATTGCAACTCCACGAGGTGAGATCTTGCATGGAGCCCCAGGCCGAGGGAGATTGACAGTTCTTTTGTTTCTTCCATTTGCGAATAATCTCACCAACTGTTGTCACCTTCTCACCAAGCTGCTTGGCGATGGTCTTGTAGCCCATTCTAGCCTTGTGTAGGTCTACAATCTTGTCCCTGACATCCTTGGAGAGCTCTTTGGTCTTGGCCATGGTGGAGAGTTTGGAATCTGATTGATTGCTTCTGTGGACAGGTGTCTTTTATACAGGTAACAAACTGAGATTAGGAGCACTCCCTTTAAGAGTGTGCTCCTAATCTCAGCTCGTTACCTATATAAAAGACACCTGGGAGCCAGAAATCTTTCTGATTGAGAGGGGGTCAAATACTTATTTCCCTCATTAAAATGCAAATCAATTTATAACATTTTTTACATGCATTTTTCTGGATTTTTGTTGTTGTTATTCTGTCTCTCACTGTTCAAATAAACCTACCATTCAAATTATAGACTGATCATTTCTTTGTCAGTGGGCAAACGTACAAAATCAGCAGGGGATCAAATACTTTTTTCCCTCACTGTAAATGCTAAAATACATTTACATTTTAGTCATTTAGCAGACACTCTTATCCAGAGCGACTTACAGGAGCAATTAGGGTTAAGTGCCTTGCTCAAGGGCACATCGACAGATTTTTCACCTAGTCGGCTCGGGGATTAGAACCAGAGACCTTTCGGTTACTGGCACAATGCTCTTAACCACTAAGCTACCTGCCGCCCATTTAGTAATGACAGAATGCATTTGAAACTTGACGCACAGTAAAACTTGTGTATCTATAAGAGTGGGTAAAAAGGTGCTTGTGCAATGATAAGCACACCAAAGGACACCAAAGACAGCATTAACACCATAGCCTGCTGAATTTGCAAGATAACTTTTCTTTCAATTTGATTTTGGGACAAATAAAATGTGGCACTTACTCGCCCATGGATTCATGTTTCAGCATTATCTCGAAGAGTTTGGCGTTCGATTAGCCACGTGCGACATGCACGCACAGTTACAAGCCTGCTAGAGTTGGCGGCAGGCGGACAAGCAATATCCACTGTCGTAGTACGGATGAAGTCTGAGCTAGAATGTGAAGCTAACTGAAGCTGGCTAGCTTTAGAAAACCCTGAGTAGATCTAGCTTGCATCGTAGTATACCCATCTGGTCAATTTAAATGGGTTTCTGATTTCCATTTTTCATTCAAGTTTTTCAAGTCGTACATGGTCTTCCTGTTTATTGTTTTTTTTAAAATCCATGATTTGATTTGCCATGATGCCCGTTGGCTTTTGTAAATCCACATCTGTCCTCCCTCCCCAGCCGTTCCAGACCATGGTTCGGGGTGTGGCTGCAGTGAGGGACGAGGACAAGAAGGAGGAGAACAAGGTCAGCAGCAAGCCCCGGGAGCCCCTCATGTCTCTGGTGGACTGGGCCAAGAGTGGAGGAATGGAAGGCTTCTCACTGAGAGGGGCGCTACGACTACCCTCATTCAAGGTAAACAAGTACACAGAGGCAGCAGTTGAACTCGGGAATTGTCAGTTACTCATGTACATTCATTTGTGTACTGTGCATAGGAAATAGAGATGGATTAGTACTGTACATGTATAGAAATTACACTAATACATGTTCATGAATAGACATTACTCCATTCACTTAGGGATTTTTTCCACCATAATTTACCATGATATTAACTGTGTGTGTATTGTGTCCAGGTGAAGAGGAAAGAACCTCAGGAGCTAGCAGAGGTAGGAGAGATGAAGAGACCCAAGACACCGCCAGAGGATGATGACGAAGGTGAGCTTCTGATCCATGACCCCCTCCTTTGGGAATCCCTTTGGGGAGATGTCACCCACCATCTTTGTGTTTCCTATGTTGGCTCACCATCTCTCCTCCTCCTCCCCCCAGACTCGTACCATGAGAAGGGTCTAGAGGTAGGAATGGCAGATGGGGAGGGCCACAGGGCTGAGAGGGACAGCAGGCGGAGGAAGAAGACCAGAAGTCGGAAACCTTGGGACCTGGACAGCGAAGGAGAGGAGACTTCTGATGGTTCTTCTTCAGATAAGGTGTGTGTCTGCATGTGCAAAGGATAATTTAGCATGAAAAATGTTTCTCCACATAATAAAGTTGACCTTATCTCAAAAATGGAATATATGGCTACAGAAACAATAATGCATGATTCTTCTAATCAGTTGATGATTTCCGCAAGCCATACATACTGGCGGTGTTGTTGTATTTCCCCATAGTGCTGGGTAGATGGCAGCATTTCACTGTGTGCCTCTCCATACTCCGCTGTATTTTGGCTACATTGACTTGGGTTGAACCTGAGACACTGTTGTTTATTATCACGAACTGTGTTCTTTTGTTCCTCTCTGTAGGAGGATGAGGAAAGTGACAAGGAGTCTGAAGGTAAATCTAGCTTTCTTAATGTTGTCCTTATTGAGGCCAATGTGCTGCCCCCCACAGGCTTTCTTCTCTACCTTTTCCATCATGCCATCTTATCATCTCTCACTTCATCTCTCATTTCTTTGTCTTCAGATGAGGCCTTGAGTGCTGACAGCGATGATGAGAGCCTCTCCTCATCCACAGAGAGTTCTTCCTCCTCAACATCATCCTCCTCTTCCTCTGAAGACGAGGATGAGGAGGAAGGAGAGCAGGCCGGGAGTGGACTGGACACCATGGATGAGTCTACGATGGACAGCACAGTTCTGGACACAGAGAAGGAGGATGACCGGTACGTTTTGAACAGTGTTCTTGTTTCTGAATATACTTGCATATACCTGTATATAAGTATCCAAAATGCTTGATATATATTTCCTATGGAAGTATCTTTATTGCAACTTTGTTGCTCAAATGTGTCTGTGGGTTGATACTGACCATTCCACTTGTTGTGATCTCTAGAGAAAAGTCTGCAGCTGCTGTTCCAAAGGCACCGCTCAGCACGGAGATCAAAGCAGGTTAGTCACACATTTAGTTTCTCTGTTATGGATGTTCATTGGCAAATGCCAATGTTGTTTTTCACCTGATTTATAATTTAAATATGTGCCCATCTCTCAGAAATTGCTGCCAGCAAGAAGGATTCATCAACACCCAGCTCAAACGCTCGTCCTCCAGCCCCCCGCCCCTCCTCCTCCATTGTCATTGTTCCTCCTCTCAAGAAGCGACGGAAGACCGTCTCGTTCTCTACCAGGGAGAGCGACTACAAACCCCACCTGCCAACGGTCCCCTTGTCCCCACCTCCCTCCACTGCCTCTCCTCCCTTCTCCCCCATCAAATCTCACCTTCCAGACTCCATCCTCATCGTCTCCACACCTGGAACCACCCCCTCCAAGACTCTCTCACTCCTCCCCTTTGCCTCCAAACCAGGCGAAGGCCACGCCCTCTCTCCCTCCCCTGTTCTCACTGTTCCCTCGCCTGTATGCCCCGAAGACTCCAAAAAGAGCCCTGTCCCTCTGGTGTCCCCCCCAATCACCCCCACCAAGTCCCCCAACAAACGGGGGGCCTCTCCCAAATCCCCCGCCCCCGCTCCAGTGTGGGTGTGTCGCACCGTGCAGAACCTCCCCCTGGACCACGCCTCCATGGTCAAGATGGCCTTCGAGGAGGCCCCGCCCCCCGTCACAAAGGGCCGGGGCAGGGGACGCCCCAGGACTGTCAGCCTGTCGACCCCCACCCCTCCCCCCTCCTACCACACACTCAGAGAGGAGGATGAGGAGGAGGAGGAGAGACTGCAGAGGCTGAGACTCAGGGAGCAGCTGGGAGCATCCAGCCTGATACAGCTGGGCTCGGCCCCCACGGCTGACCTGTCTGTCCTGGCTGATGTGGCCCTGAAGCTGGACCCAGACGCTGGAGACTCGGAGGAGACGGAGACATCAGACGAGGCAGAGGAGCAGAAGATGGAGGAGGAGATGCTCCTCTCTCCAAAAGCCCTACCCCTGGTTATGGACCCACAGGGCCTGTCTGCCCTGCAGGAGCACAACTATTCCAAAGCCCCCTTCCACCTCATCCCCGCCCAAAAGAGGAATGTCTCCAAACAGGAGCCAGGGGTGCTCCTCCCTGCAGACCTCAACCATCACGCCATCTCTGGGGTGCTGGAGGCACCTGAGGAGGTCATAGGGGAACCCCTGCCCTCTAGGGACAGACACCAGGCTGAGTATCTGTCTGGCATGGGGCTGCTGTGTGAGGCTGGCAACACGGCCAAGGACGCTGTGCTGGCACCTCTCACCCCATCAGCCAAGAGGAAGGGAATGGTAGCGAGGGGGCGTGAATTGGAGGAGATGGGCAAAGGGAAGAACAAGAAGAGGAGGAGGAAAGACAAGGAAAATCTGGAGTTGCAGCAAACGAAAAAACAGAAGGAACATCAGACCAAGAAACAGAAGAAGAGGAAACTAGAGGTGTGTGAAATGTTTTGTGGGTTTGTGCATGTGTCAAGTGTCACAACTAAGAAGTGTTGAGTATGGCGCGTCAAGCACGTAAAAATAGGTTATTGCTCAACCACAGCTTACATTTACTGTAACTTTGTCATCTTAAAATGACATGCAAAGCAACTTTGTCTTTCCTCAATTGCACAAAGTTTCACAGCTTGACAGTTAAATGGTCAAATTGTCATGTAAAAAACAAATGTTACTAGTAAATTACCATCTAATCCAGAAAGTCCCATCCTAGGGCCTGTATGTGCCTGTTACTGGATAATCTTAGTTCCTGTGTTGACATCTCCCCCTCTCCCACTCTATCCTTGTTCCTGTCCCTCTCCCACTCTCTCCCCTTCCTGTCCCCTTCTCCCCTCTCTCCCTGGTTCCTGTCAGGAGGTGGACCTGGAGGAGGATGTGGACGTGGAGCAGCTGGAGCCGGGTGAGCTGTCTAACACGGAGGACGAGGAAGAGGAAGAGTGGGACGATGTGAGGAAGAGCGAGCGCCTCTTCCTCCAGGAGGCCGGGCTGACGTCGTCGCAGCGTTGGCCCAAGCCCATCCCAGCCCCGGAGCCCATCACATTTGACCAGCGCAGCGAGTTTGAGCAGATGACCATCCTGTACGACATCTGGAACTCTGGTCTAGACGTGGAGGACATGACTCTGCTGAAGACCACCTACGAGAAGCTGCTGCAGGACGACCACAGCACTGACTGGCTCAACGACACACACTGGGTCCACCACACTGATATCCTTTACTACTGGCACTGCTGGGATGACTGGCAGGGCAGGGGGTTTGGAACGAGGGTTAGAAGCCCTGTTTGTGTATTAGGATCTTCCATGTGTTGAGGCCTCTTATGAACAGTTGAGCTGTGTTATAAAGTAATCTTCCTGTATGTGGAACGGCGCAAATGGAATGGCATCAAACACATGGAAACCATGTGTTTGATATATTAGATACCATTCCACCTATTCCGCTCCAGCCATTACCACGAGCCCATCCTCCACAATTAAGGTGCCACCAACCTCCTGTGGTGGAAGTAGATTAAATGGTGTGTAATGATGAATGTGTATTTAGATGGACTGGTGTGTTATGAATGTGTGTTTAGATGGACTGGTGTGTGTTCAGCAGTAACTGTTGTTAGCCTTAATGTGTGGCCTGCACTTACCAACATCCCCAACCCGCGGCGTAAGAAGAAGAGTGCAGACGGGCAGCTGCGGGAGCACGTGACGGGCTGTGCCAGGAGCGAGGGCTACTACGCCATCAGCAGGAAGGAGAAGGATGTCTACCTGGATCTGGAACTGCCTGAGCAGGCCCTACTGGAGGCTGCCGACTACGATGCCTCGGTACGCACACCTCACTTTACCATCTCTTTCCTTTTTAGACTATATATGGTCTCTGGCTTTTCATACAATGGTATCATGTTGTTGCCTTTCATAACCTCTGAACACAGATCCTTTGTTCCAATAAGATGAATAACCTTTGGTCATTGAATACAGGGAAGTTGGTGATTCATTATTTTGATCAAAACAAGTAGTGTATTTCTTATTTTAGCATATGCTTCACAATGCTATAGGAAGTCCCGCAGAGTTTGTCATGCAGATGTATTCAACAGCTTTGCTGCGTCTGCTCGTGGCAATGAAAATGAACTCGCTCAACCCCAGATTAACTATTTTATTGGGCATTTAGGTCAAAGTGCCTCTGGCTCAGTAGTATTTAGCTCAAGGCCATGTGATAGTGTGTGTCACCGTGTGTGTGTCACTGACCCCATGTAACCGTCCTTCTGCCCTCCCCCTCAGGGCTCAAACAGGCTGCTGTCAGAGAGACGGTCGGAGCAGCGCCGCCTCCTCAGTGCCATAGGCATCCCTGCAGTCATGGACTCTGACCTGCTCAAACTCAACCAGCTCAAGGTACACAGCAGCCTGGAACTATGTGTACCACTGACATTATGTAACTGCTGTGTTGTCGCTGGTCTACAACCACCATGTCATTTCCCATGGGTTTCATGTTGAGAACTTACGTCTCTACTGTGTAATGAAGACCTTGACCTTTTAAACCCATGCCAGTGTGTTGATAATGAGACTTTGACCCAGGACTATGGTGAAATCTAGAGGAAAGGCTGATATTGCATTCAATCCAGTTGTCTAGACAAAGCTTGATGATGAGTTGGTTATTTGAATCCGTTGTGTAGTGCCGGGGGGGGGGGGGGGGGCAGGACAGTTTGGGAAACCCTGGTGTAGAGAGTAACTAAAGGATTATTGCACCACTATGGCACTAACTCGTACTTCCTTCCTTCCTCAGTTCCGTAAGAAGAAGCTTAGATTTGGCCGCAGTAGGATCCATGAATGGGGCCTGTTCACCATGGAACCCATTGCTGCTGACGAGATGGTCATTGAGTATGTGGGCCAGAACATCAGACAGGTACTGGTCATTGTACTGCTTGAATATGTAGTGTGTAGGGCCATATTGTAGTCTGTACTTCATTCATCCATAGTGTGGTATCATAGCATTAGCAATAGACACATGACAAACATCAGTGTTGGTCTTTCCTGGGTGTTCAGCTGGCATCATTGTTTGTGTTTGTGCCCGTTTCTTTGCCAGATGGTGGCTGACAACAGAGAGAAGCGTTATGCCCAGCAGGGCATCGGGAGCAGCTACCTGTTCAGAGTGGACCACGACACCATCATCGATGCCACCAAGTTAGGCAACCTGGCACGCTTCATCAACCACTGCTGCACTGTGAGTCAGCCCACACCTACACAAGCAAAACTATACAGGTTATAACAATGGAGTGACGCAACATGACGACTAAATAGAAATACATACGTTTCCATCATACATATTTAGTGACTGATACACACAATGCTCAGAGTAACATTGACTGGTAAGATCCTCTAAGTAGTTTGGTTTTCTCTGAATTTCCCATAACTGGTCTTGTTCCTCTTCCTTCCCCAGCCTAACTGCTACGCAAAGGTGATCACCATAGAATCCCAGAAGAAGATTGTGATCTACTCCAAGCAGGCCATTGGCATGAATGAAGAGATTACCTACGACTACAAGTTCCCTCTAGAGGAAAATAAGATTCCCTGTCTGTGTGGAACAGAGAACTGCCGTGGGACGCTCAACTAGAGACCACAGCAATGACCACACTCACACTGAGGGGTGGCAGTACCCCGTTTCAGTCCCTCCTGTCCCCCCTCCACAAACCCCCGACTATAACCAAGAACAAAGCCATGGTTCCAACACACCCACCACCAACAGCCCACCTGCTCCTCCAGACTGTCAAACAGTTGTCTGTACCATATCCAGGAAACAGAGAGACACACGCAACGTTTGCACTGTTCACACACTTTAATTTACCTGGGGTTATGGTTTATTATCTTAGGGGTTGTGAGACCCTCCCTCCCAGGGGTGTGATTAATATTCGGGCCCCCTCTCCTGTACCCCAAAACCCCTGAAATTCAGAATTAGTCTCCGCTGTAGCAGGATTTAGTAACTTAGGACCACTTGTTCCCGTTCGGTCAAGCGTAGAAGGTTTTTTTCCCTAACCTATCAACACTGGTTTTGTGCGTCTTGTGTCCGCCCCCTCACAGATAGGCAGTGGTCCGGAAGCTCCCACTAACCCCAACCCTCTCTGCCCACACACAGACGCACAGGATTTACAAACATATTCAGGGTTTTAAAGGCACTCGTCGCGGCGCAGTTTTAGTTACACACTCTGATCCATTGGGACTTCAGTTATGCAAGATTTCCAAAAATGAAGATTGTTTGAGCTTTGTCATTTTATAGTATTGCATATTCTTATTATTACTATTCTTGTTCTGATTTAGTTGCGTGAGCTGTAAGTGTCTTACAGTGAAGTGAACTTCAGTGTTCCCACCACCGTCCCATTTATCCTCTAGTACACCCCCTCCTCCTCCTGGGTGCGTGACTCTCCCCTCTCACCAGTTTGTGTTTGGATGAGAGACCATAGACTTTTACAAATATTTGTTTTTCACCATGCTACAAAAGGACAAATCATTTGTAGATCAAATAGTGTGTGGCGTCAAGTCAGTTTATCTTTAAAGCCTAAAATGGCTGCTGAGTTTGTCTGCAGGTTTAGCGCAATTAGGAATGCTTTGTTTGTTCCTTTTACGTTCCCCTTGCCCCTTCGTGATGTTGTCCCTTCTCACGTTAGGATGCAGAGAAGGGACCTGACCTGTGTGTGTCTCTGTATCTGTGTGTTTAAGAGAATGTATTCTTACACGAGCGAGTATGTTTTTAATCCTGTTGTGTGAATGTGCTCTCACTGTCAATTTGTGCTTTTGAACAACCTTGTATGACATGGTCAAGGCACACTGTCAGGAAAACTGTTTCTATGAAATCTCTATTATTTGGCAAACCATTATAGACAAATCTGTTTACAAACATATCTCTGCCCCATTGACCCCTATTCAAGCGTTGAGATCTGTGTATGTTGGACTTTGTCATTGAGTGTGTTCTGAATGGTTTTAAAGGGTAAACTTATCTGTGTAGATCAGATCTGGTAAATCTAGTTTCTAGTTAAGTCGATCTCGACTTTAGACAATACCTTTATTTTTGCATTTATTAAATGCATTGGCCTATGACTATTTTTAACATGAATAATAAGAAATATATATTTAGGCATGTTGATCTTCACTATAATAAATTCCCCTCTATCATAGGAAATGATGGGTTAGCGTACCCCAGACCGTCTCTGTGGAGTATCTGTGTCTTGGCCTAATATGTAGATGAACCTTCAGATCAATCTGTGTTTGGTAGGTGAATCAGAACCGGGGGGTCATTTTTAATTGTTATCCATTTTTCATTGTTATCCATGCTCTCTCAACTCAAGCAGTCGCTGTCCCAAGTTTTTTTATCTTTGATTTCGATGTTTTAAATGTCACAAGGCCCCTCCATGTTCTGTTCCAGCCACAGCAGAAAAGTCATCTATATTTCTTGTTGCAACTGGCGCTTTTCAGTACAAACCAACCCTCTAACTTTTAAGTAAAATATGGAGAGAAAAAAATTCAGACAAATGTACATATTGTAGAGGTGTTTGTTTCTCGTAGAAACACACTGGTTCCAATCTGTAAATATGTTGTTCTTTTCCTACTTCCCATGAGGAAAACTGTACATACCTTCCATTCAGTTATTTTTCTTTTTAATTTGATTTATTTTATTATTTGCAATATTTCTCTTGTATTAATGCGTTGGACCCTTTTATTAATGGTGCATTAAAATATTTTTTAAAAAAAGTGAAAGCTTTGTTTTAGTTTTATTTTGTAATGCCTTGGTTGAGTGTCTGGACTTTCCGCTACTAGCCCCTGGGTTGTCTAAAGGGTGTGTTGGTAAATTCACTCTGGCTATCTACTGCGATTTCAGAGCACTCTCGTACAAGTGTGCCTGAGTGCAGAATAACTGAGGAATTTATACAAAAGCGCAACAACCGTTGAATGTCAGTAAACGTCGGCAAAAAAAACATAATTCAATTGTTGCCAGCAGCACAGTTAGTCACCAACGATCTCAATTTTCATAGTCCTAAAGCAATATTAAGCAAACACAACATTCGCTGTGTGTGAGTGTCTGTCAGTGAAATGTAAATCTCTATCCTGATTGCCTAGTCACTTTTACCCCTACCTACATGTAAATATATTACCTCAACTACCTGGTACCCCTGCACATTGACTCAGTACTGGTAATTCTTATAGCCTCATAATTTTTTGTTACCATTTCATTTTTTATTTAGCTAATTTTTGTTACTTTTTAACTCTGCATTGTTGGGAAAGGGCTCATAAGTAAGCATTTCACGGTAAAGTGTACCACTGTTGTATTTGCCGCATGTGAGAAATACAATTTGATTTGATTTGAAGCTCATGCGCAGAAATACGTCATTGAGTCTAACGGTCATCTCGTGCGGAACTGCACATGTGCAGGCCGTCAAATCAAAGGCACTCCTTCGATATAAAGTTGTTTTTGACTAACATGAAAATGTGTCAGTTTGTCCCTTTCACAAGGTTGGCGTACCAGAATACATGTTTTACATCAGTAGTTGACACAAAGTGCTTATATAGAAACCCTGTCTAAAACCCCAAAGAACAAGCAATGCAGATGTAGATGCACGGTGGCTAGGAAAAACTCCATAGAAAGGTAGAAACCTAGAGAGGAACCAGGCTCTGAGGTGTGGCCAGTCCTCTTCTGGCTGTGCTGGGGGGAGATTATAAGAGTATATGGCCATTAAGGCCAGATCGTTCTTCAAGATTTTCAAATGTAGCTCAGTTGGTAAAGCATGGCGCTTGTAACGCCAGGGTAGTGGGTTCGATCCCCGGGACCACCCATACATAAAAAATGTATGCACGCATGACTAAGTCGCTTTGGATAAAAGCGTCTGCTAAATGGCATATTATAAAATAGCCTACCCAGCTCTGCTAGGGTGAGTAAAATGGTCAGAGTGAGGTTCTCTCATTTGTATCTGGAAGTAGCTAGCTAGCAAGCTAACCAACTTTAGCCAGTTAGCTTGGGCCTTGAATTGGGTTGTGAGGTCAGAACGCTCTGAATATACAAACGGACAATAAACAAATTAATTGGAACAGCGCTGTCCCGGGTGTCGCAAAGAGTTATGGGATATTAGATTTCCATTTTCTAAATCATTATCTGCAATCTAGCTTTCAGGTGGGAGGTACGAGTCCGTAGCGGAATATCCATATAGGGTCGTCAACCACGGACAATTACTGGATGGCTGATCCCTGTTGGATAGCTGTTACAAAGGGATTTTGTAATGCATAGTAGTCTTTTTGATATCGTCTTCTCCTATCCTGTGTGGTACTATACTGTATGTCATCAGGGTGAGTGTGCATAGTGGAACGCGTACAGGAACTTGCAGGCTTGCCGGAAACGGCAATGCCCTCGTGCATAGAGAGGAGACAACAGAAGGTACGTTTGTCAGTCAAGTTCAACCTGAAAAACGATATGTTTCCTGTGTGTGTGTGTGTGTGTGTGTGTGTGTGTGTGAGAGCGAGCGAGAGAGAAATAAATGCAAAATGTAGTGTCAGAGAAGGAGGAAACACGAATAAGGAAGACGTGACCTAGTATGGAACTGGGTTTGCATAAGTACATATTGGTTAACATGAGTTCAATCACCCTTGTTATAGAAGCACAGAGTTCATGAGGTTAAAAAAAGAACTGAAAACCAGCTCAGAAAATGCATACTTCTTCTCCACATGATTGTCTGTCTGTAAAGTTGCATCATGTAAAATAATTTACAAAACTATGTGAAGCCAAAGTTGTAAAACCATAATTAGGGTGGGTAGTGCTCAGCTGGGAAATGTGATAAATTATTATTTATTGAATGTTTATCATTAATCCATTTAGCCTCATGGGAGATACATAATTGAATGAGCATAACCCAAACACCATGGATAAATTATTTACTGGAATTGTATCTGTTTGACTTTGTTTTGAAGCATCTAGCGGCCATCAAAATTAAAGAAATGGCTCTGTGAGGTTTCTCCCTACCTAGGACACTTACAAGCTTGGCCTGTTGTTTTTGGGGCACTTTGTGACAAATGCATTTTAAAATAATAATTTGCCATCTTCATTGATAGTTGATCTAGATCGTCAAAATCAATTATAGTCCACATTCAACCAAATCAGTGAGACTGTTTAGCAGATGATCAATGGTAACTTAAAGTTCAGGACGGGTATTATGAGGCTGTTGGTGTTTAACCAGTAAATACTGTCTGATTCCGCGCTGTGAGTAATATACTGTCATTTAACCTGGCAATGACAATGTTTTGCGGTCAGCAGCTGAGACTATAGATAACTTGTCTGTGAATCATGTGACTGTCTGGAAATTTGCAAGGAATGGAAGTACAATACCATGTGTTGTCACTTTCCATGAAGGCCTATGCTAGTACAATATCTGTAGCACAATATGTTGTCCAATTCAAAGGTTGCTGTGTGCATGATTTATCAATTACAGGGCTGTTCAAGAAGGCCATTATTGCAACAGCGATTTGGATGAAGGATCAAGGACAAAGAATGGACCCAGAGAGATGTTGGATGAATGGCCATATTGTTTAAACAGGAGAAGAACAATCTCCTCTGACATTTGATATGATATTCAATCCAGTCCAGTCAGAGAGAAAGAATGAAAGGAAGCAATACTTTTTCAGATCACTGGGGCTGTCTCCCTCATTGCCCCAGACTGACAGGCAGTAGCGGTGCGTGGGTAAAATCATTGAGCAAGCCAAGCCTGTAAAAAAGCCATATTACAACCTATGTTGTGATAATTGCGTTGTTTGCTCTATAGCCATTAGTTAAAACGCCACCGTGATATACAATAAGGCCATGACAACAAAAAGACAACAGTCACACAGTGGCGGAATAAATTCAACTACACATACTGTTTGTTTAATCACAGAACTGGAGAGCAACATCTGTGTGAAGTCTACAAAGCAAATATTGCATGTAACAAACAGTTATCACCTGCAGCATGGTCAAGCAAGTTAACGTTTTCAACAGTTTATTAAATAACAACTACTGATTTAGAACCACAGAGTTACCGCAAGTCAGCACAAAGACAACAGGAGCACTGCCTCCGCCATTCCAGCACCAATTCAACTTACACATTTGAACATAATAAAATCAACAAGGCTATATATGCTTAGTTTAATACACTGAAAACAAACTTAAAGATAACCGAAAACAATTTAGTCCAATCGATGTTGTTAAATATCATGTGGCTGTCCATGGTACTGATTTCTGTGTGTGTGTGTGTGCGCAAGTAAAACAAAACATGTTGACTCACCCTACTTGTAGACAAGTTGAACGCCAATGCCATCCTCCTCTCTTTCATGTCGGCAAATCGGTCTATGGCTCTGTCATACACTTAGTTTTTGTTGTCATAGGTTACCTAACTAAAATGCTTGCTAGCCTAACTGCCTGGCATGGCCAACAATGAACCAGCTAAGTTAGCTAGCTAGTTAGTTACCGTGAGCCTACTAGGCTACACATTGAACTTCAATCGTCTCGGGCCAGTGGCACAACATATTAATTTATGGTTAGATCAGAATCGCCGTCATAATCATTGGCCTGTACAGAGAATTAAGTAAAAACAACAAGTCCAAATCCCCATCTCCATTCATGGCTTAGGAAAGGGCTGATTTAGCAAGCTAGTTACTGCAGGACATCAACACAAGCAGACCAGAAAACGGTTATCTGAAAATGACGTTTTGCTTAGGAAGTTATTTGAATGGTCTGAAGCCAAATCCAAACTGACATTCAAATAGCTACCCTTTGCCTTGATGACAGCTTTGCACACTCTTGGCATTCTCTCAACCAGCTTCACCTAAATGCTTTTCCAACAGTCTTGAAGGAGTTCCCACATATGCAGAGCACTTGTTGGCTGCTTTTCCTTCACTCTGCGGTCCGACTCATCCCAAACCATCTCAATTTGGTTGAGGTTGGGGGACTGTGGAGGCCAGTCATCTGATGCAGTACTCCATCACTCTTTTTCTTGGTAAAATAGCCCTGAAAAACAAGTGATAGTCCCACTAAGCCCAAACTAGATGGGATGGTGTATCGCTGCAGAATGCTGTGGCAGCCATGCTGGTTAAGTGTGCCTTGAATTCTAAATAAATCACAGACAGTGTCACCAGCAAAGCACCCCCACACCATAACACCTCCTCCTCCATGCTTTACGGTGGGAAATACACATGCGGAGATCATCCGTTCACCCACATCGCGTCTCACAAAGACACAGCGATTTGAACCAAAAATCTCAAATTTGGACTACAGACCAAAGGACATATTTCTACCGGTCTAATGTCCATTTCTCATGTTTCTTGGCCCAAGCAGGTCTCTTCTTCTTATTGGTGTCCTTTAGTAGTGGTTTCTTTGCAGCAATTAGTGTCTTTTACTTGAACTCTGTGAAGCATTTATTTGGGCTGCAATTTCTGAGGCTGGTAACTCTAATGAATGTATCCTCTACAGCAGAGGTAACTCTGGGTCTTCCATTCCTGTGGCGTTCCTCATGAGAGCCAATTTCATCATAGTGCTTGATGGTTTTTGTGACTGCACTTGAAGAAACTTTCAAAGTTGTTGAAATCTTCCATATTGACTGACCTTAAAGTACTGATGGACTGTCGTTTCTCTTTGCTTTTTTGAGCTGTTCTTGCCATAATATGGACGTGGTCTTTTACCAAATATGGCTATCTTCTGTATCCCCCCCCCCCCCAAGGGTGGCTATTTGAATATATTTTAATTTGTTTAACACTTTTTTTGGTTACTACATGATTCCATGTGTTAGTTTTGATGTCTTCACTATTATTCAACAATGTAGAAAATAGTAAAAATAAAGAAAAACCATGACTGAGTAGCTGTTCTAAAACTTTTGACCAGTAGTGTATATAGTATATATTTAATTATTTTGTTTCATTCAGTTCCCTTTGACCTGCAGTGTTGGAGCTCAGAGTTTAAGAATTTCACTGTACCCTGCAATCTGACTAATCAACTCTAATCTAACCATGGTGGCATATAGCCTTTCTATGGTTAGCATACATTAAAACGAGCTCCCTGCCATCCAGGACCTCTATACCAGGCGGTGTCAGAGGAAGGCCCTCAAAATTGTCAAAGACTCCAGCCACCCTAGTCATAGACTGTTCTCTCTGCTACCGCACGGCAAGCGGTACCGGAGTGCCAAGTCTAGGTCCAAAAGACTTCTCAACAGCTTCTACCCCCAAGCCATAAGACTCCTGAACAGCTAATCATGGCTACCCGGACTATTTGCACTGCCCCCCCACCCCATCCTTTTTACGCTGCTGCTACTCTGTTAAGTAAGTATTTATGCATAGTCACTTTAACTCTACCCACATGTACATATTACCTCAACTACCTCAACTAGCCGGTGCCCCCGCACATTGACTCTGCAACGGTACCCCCCTGTATATATAGCCTCCCTACTGTCACTTTATTTTACTGTATATATAGCCTCCCTACTGTCACTTTATTTTACTTCTGCTCTTTTTTTCCTCAACACTTTTTTGTTGTTTTATTCTTACTTTTTTGTTTAAAATAAATGCACTGTTGGTTAAGGGCTGTAAGTAAGCATTTCACTGTAATGTCTGCACCTGTTGTATTCGGCGCATGTGACCAATAAAATTTGATTTGATTTGACCTAACGAGTTGATTTGCCTTTCTTTGATGATAGTGTTTGTTCAAAGTCGAAGGGCAGCAAATAAACCCAGTGAAGGGGAGTAGTTTACGATCGCTGTGTACAGACCGATCAGGGCTGCGTTCAATACGTTTTTACGTTCTGGAACGTTCGATTGAACGGAGACGGTGCTGTACTGAACGAACAGTTGAAAAACGAGGAGGGTTGTGGGTTGGGGAACGCTGTCAGCATGGCCACTTCCCTTTAAAAACGTCACTCATTGCTTCAAGCCACACGTCGCCACATCTACCAAACCGGAGCAAACATACCTCAGTCTGTTCAATAACGTTTTGGGAGTATGTGTCGTTAAGTACGTTTAAGAGAACTGAACGCACCTCTCTCCCTCGCTCTCCCTGCCTCCTAACATTTTTTATCTCCCCTCTTTTAGAACATTGGATCACGGAGGGGGTTGTAGAAGATCAACAAGAACGACGACTCAGTAACTAATCAACCAAACATCAATTAGTGATAGTAGCAACTAGCAACAGTGAAGAATGTCGACTAAAGAACGGGGTCTGGTTTATGTAGTCACAGGGGGCTGTGGGTTCCTCGGACAACACCTGTTACATGTCCTTTTGGAGAAAGAGGATGCGGTAACGGAAATTCGACTTTTTGACAAACACATCGACTCAAGTTTAAATGGCCACAGCACAGGTAAAGCTAAAATATATGCTTGAAACATAAATTGTAAATGTCTGGCAGTTCACTGACATGCTCAAACCCCGTCTGTAGTTTTCTTGTCTAATAATGTTTTATGCATATTTAATTGGCATAACCATACACCACATGGGGCTGCTGAGGGTAGAACGGCTCATAATAATGGCCAGAAAGGAGCAAATGGAATGGCATCAAACACATGGAAACCATGTGTTTGATGTATTTGTTAACATTGCACTCACTCCTGCTCCATTTACATTTTACATTTTAGTCATTTAGCAGACGCTCTTATCCAGAGCGACTTACAGTTAGTAACATTTTATTTTTTTATACTGAGTACAAATTTTTGTTTTGTTTTTGTAACAAATTTAAGCTAAAACATTTGTAAATGCATTTATATATCATGAAACATAAGACATTTTCATTTAACATAGGTCTATAAATTATTTCATCCTCTTCATTTGTCTATTTTCAATAAATTATCATAGCTTCAAAAGACTATATACCAAATGGTGGTGTTTACAATTAGGTTGTAGTGTAGTGGACTGGTTTAACCAAGATAGCTGTCCAAAATCTCAGTATTAAGCACAACTGCAAAAAACTACAAACATCTAGGTTATAATGACAATGTTAGTTGTCAGCATCAGTGTACAATTCCCAGGACTGGGCTTAAGACACTACTGCCAAACCTGAACTTGTTGTTGTAGCACTTGAAAGTCTGGTATAGAAGCTCCAGTCATTACCACAAGCCTGTTCTCCCCAATTAAGGTGTCACCAACCTCCTGTGCCATACACCTCAACTGGTTTGCAGTTGTGGGACTGGTAGAGTTTTAAACATGAAAGTTCAGCTACTCTTAATCCTTATTCATGATGACAATTATTCTTTGGCTAAGCTACTCCTAGCAAGACATATAGCGGCTCATGTGGGCAAGACCTGTAATCTTGAATGTCCAGGGGTTTATGCCCTGAGAAGAGGTGGGGTGTCAACTCTTCAGTGATTGAACAGTTAGGGTCTTTATCTACCTTAGCACATTGAAATGCTTGACTGAAACTGAAATAACCTAGACTAGAATCACATAAACCTTTACCCACATACATACCCAATCAAATATATTCTGGATATCAGCTGTATTCCATCCAAACTCTCTTTTCTGACACCCTTTATTTTTGTCTTACACCTTTCTTACTCATATTCTCAGGCATAATAACATTCACATTGAATTGAGTAACTTTGTACAAACTTATATTCCATTGTCAGTCTTCACTACAGAAACAGAGCCATAGAGGTGGAGAGTAGGTAGATGGACTGAGATGAAGAGATGGGAGAGCTGAAAGCCATATACATACTATAGTGTGACAGAGAGATGAGTTGGCAGATGTCACTGAAAGGGAAATGTTAGGATAGTAAAAGACACTCAGCTGAGGTCACTTCTACATCTGCATTGCTTGCTGTTTGGGGTTTTAGGCTGGATTTCTGTATAAGCACTTTCTGACATCTGCTGATGTAAAAAGGGCATTATAACTACATTTGATTTGACTGCATTGGCCTGCATGAACAATGTCATAACATGATGGGGTCATGGACACCGAGATGGCCAACACCCCTCCTAATTCCATTTCCTGTCCTTGAACACTGCAGCCGGCCTATGTCATTTCCCATAACCTGTGACATGTCACTGTCATCATAACAGGAATCTCCACCTGCACCCTGTCACCTTGTGTGATTGTTAGGTGACTGTTAGGGCGGTATGTGGAGAAGGTTGTGCTCATCACAGAGTGTCAGGGGTTTGTTTAGACAGAGCCTTCCTCCAAACTCATTGATACAAGATCAGTCCATAGATGTGGCTTGACTGATGAGCTAAATACATGGCATTGATTACAAATTAAATCGCTCATATAGGCTTACATTGTTAGTCTTTTACCTCTCATTGTTAGTATCTTACCTCTATTGCCATAGGCTACGTCCAGGTAATATTAGATCACCTTGTTTTCACTTAAATACTAAACATATATATTTTTCCCCTGGTGGGAATATGCTTTTCATGTTGAGCGGATGTAGGGGCTGAGGAGGAGTTTGCTTTTGCATTCAATGGAACAAACTCTTTGTATACAATTCATTATGTAGGCCAGGGGTATTCACCTCTCACCCTACAAGGTCTGGAGCCTGCTGGTTTTCTGCTCAACCTGATTAGGGTAAGAGCGTTGTGCCAGTAACCGAAAGGTCGCTGGTTCTAATCCCCGAGCCGACTAGGTGAAAAATCTGTCGATGTGCCCTTAAGCAAGGCACTTAACCCTAATTGCTCCTGTAAGTCGCTCTGGATAAGAGCGTCTGCTAAATGACTAAAATGTAATGTAAATGTAATGTAAATGTCCCAGGTCTAAATCAGTCCCTGATTAGAGGGGAACAATGAAAAAATGCAGTGGAGCTGGCTTTGAGGTCCAGACTTGAGTTTGAGGGACGTAGGCTATTCCAAGGCATGCACAAAGCCTGGTGGCTGGTAGTATTCATATAGCCCAGCCAGGGGGAGACCTATAGTACACTTTATGTAATCAGAGCTCATAGTCTAGTTCTAATCTCACTGTAACAGTGAAAAGATCAACAAGATGTTGTGATTGAATGAGATTTGCAACTTAACATTGAGCCTTTGCTTGGAATGTTTCTAAAGTATTTGCATGCTGTAGGTTCTCTTTAGATATGAAGCATAGACATGTTTTCACAGAAGGTGTATGAGTGATTTTAAAACGATAAACAAAACAAACCATGAATTTAACTTTGTTATTGGTGTATATGTTGCGTAGCGTGGGAACCGCTGCGGCTCCCGAGTGGCGCAACAATCTAAGGCACTGCATCTCAGTGCTAGATGCGTCACTACAGACCCCCTGGTTCGATTCCAGGCTTTATCACAATCCTGCTGTGGTTGGGAGTCCCATAGGGCGGCACACAATTCGCCCAGCGTCGTCCGGGTTTGGCCGGGGTAGGCCGTCATTGTAAATAAGAATTTGTTCTTAACTGAATTTCCTAGTACAAAAATAAATAATAATCTAATTTAGTTACAGTAGCCTAGTAAGAGAGGGGCTTGTGAACTTCAGAGGACGAGGTTGACTGAAGTGTTCACTTCCTGTAATTACTTCATTTACAGTTGCTGTAATGGGTAATTACAAACCCTAGCTTTAGTTTGGTTCAATGGAAATCATAAAAGAAGTGTGTGCTACACAACCAAGCCTTTGAGGCAGAGCTAAAAGAGAGCGCTGCTGTAGTGTGACTTCAAGGCAAGAGTGTGTTTTTTAAGAGTCGAGACCATTCCTGTGGTTACTTGGACTCCAGCCCCATCCTGGCTTCATAGTCATCAGATATATTTCAAGGCCATGATCTAGATAAGCCAAGCCAGGAACAGCACATTGAGAATAGGGGCAGCTTCTTTTCCATCTTATCATTCCAAGAATGAAAGACAGAACAAACAGACAATTGCTCTCAAAAGACACATTTGTGAAGAACGTGATTTTGTTGTGACCCACCTACCGGTATTACAATAAACATAAAGAACTTGTATGAAAATACGTTTAATTGTGGTGGGGTGATTGGGTCTTTTGTAGCAACATCAGATTACACTTTTTCCAGAAACAGAGACCGAGAGAGATAGTTCCTCAGTGGACCCAGCTCTTGTTAGGTTGCTAGGCAATGTAGGATCCGATTTAGAGGAAACAAATTAACACTCAAAGTCAAAGAATAATTCATATAGCCATGGAAACATGCATAGAAAGGCTTGGTCCCTCCCCAAACACTACATCTGTACCTAGACATTCTAACTACAATAGGCTATTATTATGTACATGATGTCCATGTCTTGTTGTACAATCTCAATCTAGGATCAATTGTATTATTGTGCAATGTAGATCAGTTTATAGATATCTCATTCCGGTGAAAACAATCTATTTTACACTATGCCTAACATCTATTCTCCCTCTCTCCCCCGTCTCTCCACCCTCAGAGCAGGTAAAGGTGGTGGTGACGCAGGGGGACATTACAGATTACTCCAGTGTCCTGGAGGTGTCCAAGGGGGCAGACCTGGTCATCCACACGGCCAGCCTGGTGGATGTCTGGCACAGAGTCCCTGAGACAGTCATCCAGGCTGTGAATGTTCAAGGTAAGGGTTCAGACACAGCAATAACGTTCACTGGCCCAGAGTACTTAGCACCTCTGAACGTAATTTGGGTACTGAGTGCGCACCGATTTTATATGTAGAATCGCATAAAAAAATGTTGTCAGTCAGACGTCTGCAGCGGGAGGTCCCTAAAACCCAGCGCGCTGAACGGTGGGCAGACAAACACTAGACCAACACTTAGTGCGATGTGTGGAAGCCTTAAGACACAGGAGGATTTATGAAGAAGGGAATGGAAAATATGTAGAGGAAAAGGGAAAGAAGAGGGAGAAATGGTTGCCTTGGAGATGATTGATGAGAGAAGGAGACAAACAGGATGGATGGGTTGTCTTGACTGCAAATGAATACAACAGCAGCAACCGTTATGGAGAAATAGTACTCTCAATAAAGCTCTGTTCCAAAACCCATGAAATAGTGTTCCCTAAAGTTAACCCTGCCCAGAGAATTATAGGCTATGAGTTTGAGTGATTCATGGCATAACCCACGTTTTTCCTGTATGCCTGTCGCCTCTCCCTTCCTATAGTGCCTGGTGTTTTCCTCTGAACATTCTGACTATAATAGTGCCACTTGAGTCTGTTAACGGGTGTCAACTACAACAATGGTTTTATATTGAGCAAACATAAACATAGAGAAATAATGACTTTATTTGTGTATGTAGTGGGTAAATGTGTGTGTGAGTCTCCATGAGAGGGCCTGTTTATAGTTATTGTGTGTGTGTGTGTGCTTGCCATGAGTCTTTTACAGCCATTTCAAACTCATCTCAAAAGGTTTTACATCTCACGATAAGGTTAGTGCCAGCCTGTCAGGTGGTTTTCATGCAACTGAATTACCAACAAACTCACATTACTGAAGCGAATCAGCTGCTCTCCCAGTGATCCACTGCAAGTCATCTGGTTTCTATTAAACTAACAACACTGACACTTTGTTTCCAGTTTGTGGTTATTCTATGTGTTCCCCGTCTGGTGGGTGTGGTGTCTCACTGTCCCAGATCTGGGCATCTGTCCCATAGTTCTGCTCTTCGTCTCTTGGAAACTGTGACAAACATTTTCCTCACAGGTATAGCCGTTTGTATGAGTTAGTGTAATTACTGTATATCAGATGTAATGTTTCAAAACCTTCTAGGACGTTTGTGTTGAGCTCTGAGAAAACACATTTATCATCCAGGGCTAGTTCATCGTCTGCCAACATCTCTGACCAGATGTTCTGCACGCACTTCCTGTTGACCGCATCACACCCTGGCCCTTTCTTTCTGCAATCAAATCAATGATAATCTCTAGTTATTGTCCTCTAGAATGTTTCTCAATATTTTTCTCTTCCTCTCTCCGTCTCTCTAACAGGAACTGTGAATGTGATCAATGCCTGTGTGGAGAATGGTATCCAGTATCTGGTCTACACCAGCAGCATGGAGGTGGTCGGCCCCAATGTGAAAGGAGACCCCTTTATCAGGTAGAGTTTTATTTAATTTATCGGTTTCTCCTTAGGCTTTCATCTGCATATTTTTCCTCTTTCCACTAAATCGCTACCTCTCCTCCATCTCTTTTGTCTAGCCCATATGGTAGAGATTTCCCTTATCTGTATTATATCAGGCATGTGACTGTTTATTATTTTCTGATTTCTCTATGAATTCATATGTCTCTATTCCTCCATAATTCTCCATCGAGAGAAATGTACTGCGAGGAGAGATACATAAAGAGGTAGATACAGTGAGGGGGAAAAAGTATTTGATCCCCTGCTGATTTTGTACGTTTGCCCACTGACAAAGAAATGATCAGTCAATAATTTTAATGGTAGGTTTATTTGAACAGTGAGAGACAGAATAACAACAACAAAATCCAGAAAAACGCATGTCAAAAATGTTATAAATTGATTTGCATTTTAATGAGGGAAATAAGTATTTGACCCCGTCTCAATCAGAAAGATTTCTGGCTCCCAGGTGTCTTTTATACCGGTAACGAGCTGAGATTAGGAGCACACTCTTAAAGGGAGTGCTCCTAATCTCAGTTTGTTACCTGTATAAAAGACACCTGTCCACAGAAGCAATCAATCAATCAGATTCCAAACTCTCCACCATGGCCAAGACCAAAGAGCTCTCCAAGGATGTCAGGGACAAGATTGTAGACCTACACAAGGCTGGAATGGGCTACAAGACCATCGCCAAGCAGCTTGGTGAGAAGGTGACAACAGTTGGTGCGATTATTCGCAAATGGAAGAAACACAAAAGAACTGTCAATCTCCCTCGGCCTGGGGCTCCATGCAAGATCTCACCTCCTGGAGTTGCAGTGATCATGAGAACGGTGAGGAATCACCCAGAACTACACGGGAGGATCTTGTCAATGATCTCAAGGCAGCTGGGACCATAGTCACCAAGAAAACAATTGGTAACACACTATGCCGTGAAGGACTGAAATCCTGCAGCGCCCGCAAGGTCCCCCTGCTCAAGAAAGCACATATACATGCCCGTCTGCAGTTTGCCAATGAACATCTGAATGATTCAGAGGAGAACTGGGTGAAAGTGTTGTGGTCAGATGAGACCAAAATCGAGCTCTTTGGCATCAACTCAACTCGCCGTGTTTGGAGGAGGAGGAATGCTGCCTATGACCCCAAGAACACCATCCCCACCGTCAAACATGGAGGTGGAAACATTATGCTTTGGGGGTGTTTTTCTGCTAAGGGGACAGGACACCTTCACCGCATCAAAGGGACGATGGACGGGGCCATGTACCGTCAAATCTTGGGTGAGAACCTCCTTCCCTCAGCCAGGGCATTGAAAATGGGTCGTGGATGGGTATTCCAGCATGACAATGACCCAAAACACACGGCCAAGGCAACAAAGGAGTGGCTCAAGAAGAAGCACATTAACAACTACTTCTCAGATAGAGTTCAGTGTGTCAAATCGGAGGGCCTGTTGTCTGGACCTATGGCAGTCTCTATGGGGGTGCCACAGGGTTCAATTCTTGGGCCGACACTTTTCTCCGTGTATATCAATGATGTCGCTCTTGCTGCTGGTGACTCTCAGATCCACCTCTACGCAGACGACACCATTTTGTATACATCTGGCCCTTCATTGGACACTGTGTTAACAAACCTCCAAACGAGCTTCAATGCCATACAACACTCCTTCAGTAGCCTCCAACTGCTCTTAAACACTAGTAAAACTAAATGCATGCTTTTCAATCGAACGCTGCTGGCACCCGCCCACCCGACTAGAATCACCACTCTTGACGGGTCTGACCTAGAGTATGTGGACAACTACAAATACCTAGGTGTCTGGTTAGACTGTAAACTCTCCTTCCAGACTCACATAAGGAATCTCCAATCCAAAGTTAAAGCTAGAATCGGCTTCCTATTTCGCAACAAAGCCTCCTTCACTCATGCTGCCAAACATGCCCTCGTAAAACTGACTATCCTACCGATCCTTGACTTCGGCGATGTCATTTACAAAATAGCCTCCAACACTCTACTCAGCAAATTGGATGTAGTCTATCACAGTGCCATCCGTTTTGTCTCCAAAGCCCCATACGCTACCCACCACTGTGACCTGTACGCTCTTGTTGGCTGGTCCTCACTACATGTTCGTCGTCAAACCCACTGGCTCCAGGCCATCTATAAATCACTGCTAGGCAAATCCCCGCCTTATCTTAGCTCATTGGTCACCATAGCAGCACCCACCCGTAGTCTGCGCTCCAGCAGGTATATCTCACTGATCATTCCCAAAGCCAACACCTCCTTTGGCCGCCATTCCTTCCAGTTCTCTGCTGCCAATGACTGGAACGAATTGCAAAAATCTCTGAAGCTGGAGACTCTTATCTCCCTCACTAACTTTAAGCGTCAGTTGTCAGAGCAGCTTACCGATCACTGCACCTGTACACAGCCCACCTGAAATTAGCCCACCCAACTACCTCATCCCTATATTGTTATTTATTTTGCTCTTTTGCACCCCAGTATCTCTATTTGCACATAATCTCTTGCACATCTAGCATTCCAGTGTTAATACTATTGTAATTATTTTGCACTATAGCCTATTTATTGCCTTACCTCCATAACTTGCTACATTTGCACACACTGTATATATATTTTCTGTTGTATTTTTGACTTTATGTTTTTTACCACATATGTAACTCTGTGTTTTTTGTTTTTATCGCACTGCTTTGCTTTATCTTGGCCAGGTCGCAGTTGTAAATGAGAACTTGTTCTCAACTGGCTTACCTGGTTAAATAAAGGTTAAATAAAAAATAAAATAAAAAATAAAAGGTCCTGGAGTGGCCTAGCCAGTCTCCAGACCTTAATCCCATAGAAAATCTGTGGAGGGAGTTGAAGGTTCGAGTTGCCAAACATCAGCCTCGAAACCTTAATGACTTGGAGAAGATCTGCAAAGAGGAGTGGGACAAAATCCTTCCTGAGATGTGTGCAAATCTGGTGGCCAACTACAAGAAACGTCTGACCTCTGTGATTGCCAACAAGGGTTTTGCCACCAAGTACTAAGTCATGTTTTGCAGAGGGGTCAAATACTTATTTCCCTCATTAAAATGCAAATCAATTTATAACATTTTTGACATGCGTTTTTCTGGATTTTTGTTGTTGTTATTCTGTCTCTCACTGTTCAAATAAACCTACCATTAAAATTATAGACTGATCATTTCTTTGTCAGTGGGCAAACGTACAAAATCAGCAGGGGATCAAATACTTTTTCCCCCTCTCTGTAGACAGGTCAGGGGAAAGATGGGAGATAGAGAGAGAGAATAGAAAGATTATTATTATTATTATTATTAGAGAGACATGAAAGCGAGAGAGAGCATTCCAGTCATAGTGTTGCGTTAAGGTCTAGTAGATGATGGACATTAAGCAGAGCCCACATCAAGGCACATTTCCTTCATCCCTCCCTCTCTTACACAGACAAAAGGACCAGCCTCTCTGATGTGGCAGACATGTTATCCTATACACTGAGAATACAAAACATTAAGAACACTTGCTCTTTCCATGACAGACTGACCAGGTGAAAGCTATGATCCCTTATCGATGTCACTTGTTAAATCCACTTCAATCAGTGTAGATGAAGGGGAGGAGCCTGGTTAAATAATAATTTTGAAGCCTTGAGATAATTGAGACATGGACTGTGTATGTGTGCCATTCAGAGGGTGAATGGGCAAGACAAAATATTTAAGTGCCTTTGAACGGGGTAAGGTAGAAGGTGCCAGGCGCACCGGTTTGTGTCAAGAACTGCAACGCTGCTGGGTTTTTCATGCTCAACAGTTTCCCGTGTGTATCAAGAATGGTCCACCCAAAGGACATGCAGCCAACTTGACACAACTGTGGGAAGCATTGGAGGCAACATGGGCCAGTATCCCTGTGGAACGCTTTCAACACCTTGTAGAGTCCATGCCCCGATGAATTGAGGATGTTCTGAGGGCAAAAGGGGGTGCAACTCAATATTAGGAAGGTGTTCCTAATGTTTGGTAAACTCAGTGTATGTCATTATAGGTCTGGTATTTGAACTTGCCCTCTGTCTGTGTTTAGGAATGTACGTATCACATATGGTCCCTATAAGAAGATAAGTGGGTAGGTGATTAAGATGATGACAGTCAGTAGTAGCTATGATGAACATCACAGGATAGAATTCATCTGCACCATTGAATTGAAGCTGCACATTGCCAGTTCAGTATGAACATAGCCAGGCCAATGTACTTTGCAATGCTGTGTGATGACGTCAGAAAAACTGTGTGGCAACAGTAACTCAATCATAATAACAGGTAGAGCCCTGTGTTAGGTAATAGGCTCAGGTACACAACGCCTTAGTAATAAGTGGACTGGAAGGGAGTTAGAGAAACACGTTTCTATTAAAGCACTGTCTGATTATACCTGCTTTAGGTTGGCAGGTGCTGGGAGGCTGTTGATGTTTTTGTGTAGTCATAACATTTCAGATGCAGTTAAAAACACAAGTCATACCAAGGAATTAGAGTGAAAGAGAGGGGGGGGGGTGAGGGAAATAGTTGATCACCAGCCAAGCCTGAAATCGTCCTGCCAGCTGTCACGCGTTGATAACTTGAACATATTTTCCAGATGCTGACAGAGACCGACAGATGCGCACACACACAAAAACACTGTGGGTTTGCATATGTGTTTGGCATTCTCTTCCTTTTCACATCACCTAAAGCACTCACAGTACCTGGAACAATGTCTGCCAGTCTTTGCCGGCATGACTGGCTTTGCTAAAATATTCACAGAAACAACACCATGAAAACTGCCAATGTTTTCCCTGCCCCCCCCCCCTCCTCTCTCTCTCTTTCATGCACAGAGGTGATGAAGACACGGTGTACAATGTTTATCATGAGATGCCCTACCCCAGGAGCAAGGCCAAGGCAGAGAAACTGGTGCTGGAGGCCAACGGCAATAAGGTACTTGTATTAACACATCACACCTCATACAAAGATGCGGTAATAACACACACACACAGACCAACTCATGGTACCTTTAATGGTACCATCATTAATAGACTGATTCAGATAGGGAATCCCTTTATTCAGATACTTATTTTCTCTCTATTTGACTGAACTGCTCAAATAGGTACCACAGAACACAAATATACAGTGGCCTGTGAAAGTATTCACCCCCCCCCCCCCCCCCCCCCTTGGCATTTTTTATATTTTGCTGCCTTACAACCTGGAATTAAAATTGTTTTGGGGGGGGTTTGTATCATTTAATTTACACAACATGCCTACCACTTTGAAGATGCAAAATATTTTTTCTTGTGAAATAAGACAAAAAAACAGAACTTGAGCGTGCATAACTATTCACCCCCCCCAAAGTCAATACTTTGTAGAGCCACCTTTTGCAGCAATTACAGCTGCAAGTCTCTTGGGGTATGTCTCTATAAGCTTGGCACATCTAGCCACAGGGATTTTTGCCCATTCTTCAAGGCAAAACTGCTCCAGCTCCTTCAAGTTGGATGGGTTCCGCTGGTGTACAGCAATCTTTAAGTCATACCACAGACTCTCAATTGGATTGAGGTCTGGGTTTTGACTAGGCCATTCCAAGACATTTAAATGTTTCCCCTTAAACCACTTGAGTGTTGCTTTAGCAGTATGCTTAGGGTCATTGTCCTGCTGGAAGGTGAACCTCCGTCCCAGTCTCAAATCTCTGGAAGACTGAAACAGGTTTCCCTCAAGAATTTCCCTGTATTTAGCGCCATACATAATGCCTTCAATTCTGACCAGTTTCCCAGTCCCTGCCGATGAAAAACATCCCCACAGCATGATGCTGCCACCACCATGCTTCACTGTGGGGATGGTGTTCTCGGGGTGATGAGAGGTGTTGGGTTTGCGCCAGACATAGCGTTTTCCTTGATGGCCAAAAAGCTCTATTTTAGTCTCATCTGACCAGAGTACCTTCTTCCATATGTTTGGGGAGTCTCCCACATGCCTTTTGGCGAACACCAAACGTGTTTGATTATGTTTTTTCTTTAAGCAATGGCTTTTTTCTGGCCACTCTTCCATAAAGCCCAGCTCTGTGGAGTGTACAGCTTAAAGTGGTCCTATGGACAGATACTCCAATCTCCGCTGTGGAGCTTTGCAGCTCCTTTAGGGTTATCTTTGGTATCTTTGTTGCCTCTGATTAATGCCCTCCTTGCCTGGTCCGTGAGTTTTGGTGGGCGGCCCTCTCTTGGCAGGTTTGGTGTGGTGCCATATTCTTTCAATTTTTTAATAATGGATTTAATGGTGCTCCGTGGGATGTTAAAAGTTTCTGATATTTTTTTTAACCCAACCCTGATCTGTACTTCTCCACAACTTTATCCCTGACCTGTTTGGAGAGCTACTTGGTCTTCATGGTGCCGCTTGCTTGGTGGTGCCCCTTGCTTAGTGGTGTTGCAGACTCTGGGGCCTTTCAGAACAGGTGTATATATACTGAGATCATGTGACACTTAGATTGCACACAGGTGGACTTTATTTAACTAATTATATTACTTCTGAAGGTAATTGGTTGCACCAGATCTTATTTAGGGGCTTCATAGCAAAGGGGGTGAGTACATATGCACACACCACTTTTCCGTTATACATTTTTTTCATTTCACTTCACCAATTTGGACTGTTTTGTGTATGTCCATTACATGAAATCTAAATAAAACAAAATAGGAAAAACGCCAAGGGGGATGAATACTTTTGCAAGGCACTGTACTATAGTAATCCATGAAAAAAATGTTTTGGAGCTGATGTTGCATGTAAGAATTTGTTGGCCAATTGGCATATTTGTGCAGTTACTCTGCGCGAAAAACGAATATTTTTGAGTTCTGATAAATTGTAGAATTCTTTTCCACTTCACTGTTACTCTGCCAAAAAACGGTTTAAGTGTTCCCTTGTGACCTTGTGTGTTAGACTGTTTTCCTTTCCCGTCCGCTCCCATCAGTTTCTAATGTTCTGTTACCACATCGTTCCTCTCCTTTCTCTGGCCAGGTGAATGGAGGGGCCTGCTTGTACACATGCTCCCTCCGTCCCACAGGGATCTATGGTGAGCAGCACCAGCTGATGAGGGACTTCTATGAGATTGGGTGTGAGGACAGGGGGCTGGATCATTCGAGGCGTCCCACAGGACACGGAACATGGTCGTGTCTATGCAGGTGAGTCCTGAAACCCGTGCTGATCCCTAGCCACACCTACAAGATCTTTAAAGAGAAATCATGAGTCATCTTGTTAGCTGATTTTCTACTGGGCAGTTGGTTATGTACCAAGATGGCACCTTAACTAGTGGTATGCATGTTCTCAGCATAATTCTCCTTTTTTGTTCAGGCAACGTGGCTTGGATGCATCTGCTGGCTGCTCGCTCCCTGAGAGAGCGCCCCCAAAGGCTTGGAGGGGAGGTTTACTTCTGCTATGACGACTCACCCTACAAGAGTTATGAGGATTTCAACATGCAGTTCCTGTCTGGGTTCAACTTCCGCCAGGTTCGTGTGCCACTGTTGGTGCTGTGGGTCGTGGCCTGCCTGAATGACCTGCTCCGCTGGGTGCTGAAACCTGTGTGCAGCTACACACCATTACTCAACCGCTACACACTCGCCGTGGCCAGCACCTCCTTCACAGTGGGTTCAGACAAGGCCCAGCGCCACTTCCAGTACCGCCCCCTCTATGACTGGGACCAGTGCAAGGCCCGCACACAGAGATGGGTGGACACATTTCCCTTCGCAGGCCCCAAGGAATCCTGATCTGGGCTGATCTGCTGGGCGGAACCTGGTCTGGGCTGAACCAATGCACCACACATCATAACCTGGAATGAGAGGACTTTCTCTGATTTATATTCTCACTAGGTTTGCTCCATCATAAGCAGTATTATCATTACATGTATGCAAACGAACTCTTGACCCCTGAACTCTTAAACCCTGAACCATGACCTCCTGCACTTGTTCTTCAAAAATGTTGTTATTCCAGCTGAGTTATGTCCTCCTACCTGTCACTACTTGTGGCTAGCCTGTAGCTCCTCAGGCAAAATGATGAAAAGGCATGTTCCACACTGAAATGGGTCACTTATCCATCACATGAGACCCTTCCCAGCCCTTAATAAGAGATTATGCATTGGACATTCAATATAAATAGTTTGGGGCTTCATCGGACATTGCAATATCCATCTTCTTAAAAAAGGTGTAGATATGTGATTGTAGTCATAAAAGGGCATAGGTATGTGATATGGGAAAGCTGCTCATTAATTATTTTGAGTCTATCTTCAGCAATACACAGTGCAAAACATTGCTGTACATATTTCGCAATACATACATACATTAAAATGCAATACATTTTTCATAAAACATCATCACTACATAGACTTGATCTGTTTTTGTTGAGAAGAGTGCTGGTACAGAAAATAAGTATTAAACATGCATTAATGCACACAGAGAATATTGTTGTAATTATAAATGTCTGAATATGTTCTATGTGGTTGTAGAGTTTTATGAATCACCTGCTATACATTACTACTAAGGTGATTTTATAATCTGAATCCACTGCCAATAAATAAACAATATTTTCAAATTCATTTAAAAAAAACATTTGCCAGTGCAATTAGATTTTTAACTTCAGACAGAGAAAAGGTTAATTATATATTCCATACCTATTGACGATATTCTCATTTTGAGAAGTAGCATAACTTAAAGAGCAACTGAAGGCAATAAACAACTATTCTGGTAGAAAGTGGCCTATGTCTCAAACCAACTATAAATTGAAGAAATGAATATACAAATATTGAAAGCATTTCATGAGACAACTATAAAAGATGTGTTACATGAAAATATTGTCCCATTTACCATGTGTAATTTATTGACTGTCCCTAACCAGCCCCAGATATAGGCTATCCAAAGTCAAACCAATTTTGCCACGGTGGCACACCAGCCGGCTGATGCTAATTGGCGAAAGAAGTTGGCTAGCTTGCTAGCTAGTCTAGGCTTCTTCTAGACACAAGACCTTGTTCGACTGTTTCAAGTTATCTAAACGGTTGAGTGACTGTGTACTGTTTTGCCAGCATGAAAGTACAAATGCTTCCCACGTTCGAACATACACGAGACACCCAGTTGCATTTCCTAATGAGGAGAATTGAAACCAGGACTCAATCAGGAAGTTCAGTCCCCTTTAAAACAATAGACATACTTGGATCAAAGGGGAAGACGGGCTCGTGGTAAGGACTGAAGCGGAATTGGTGGAATGGTATCAAATACATCAAACACATGGTTTCCATGTGTTCGATGCCATTCCATTAGTGCCATTCCAGCCATTTATGAGCCATCCTCCCCCTGCAGCCTCCCGGGACTTGGAAACAATACTCTTTCTGTATTGAAATGAATATTGTATTGTATTTGTTTAATTCCAAATAAAAGTATTTTAATTCATACAAAGTTTTCTATTTTTTTTTAGGTAAATATGATACTGTCAAAGACACAACACAAGGTCTTTCCTGAAAACGGCCTAGATCCAGAAACACATGGTGACTATGGTGACCTTGGAAACTGCAAGAGAAACTAAATCGAGAAACATATGGAACACATTACTCATTACACTTCCTTTACATAGTCCCTGTCGGTATTAGAACGTAGCGCCCCTGCCGCCTGTGGGGAAAACAAATGCAATTTTTTTGTTTTCTGCTTGTTTTAGTCAATTACAAAACTACATTTAAGAAAAGTACAAAGTCTAAAGATTACTTTTCAACATTGCCTGCTCCCAAGCGTTCTCTCTATTTAGAAAGACGTAATATTGTAGGGATTCCCTCATGCCCCTTTTCATGACGGTGCTAGCAGCCACTTGAGTGAGTGCCAGCTTGCTAGCCAAGACCAACAACACAAACAAATGGACTATACAGCTACAAGTAATCAGTGGAGTTACAAACAGACTATACTATGAACAAAAATATAAACGAAATATGCAAAAAATTCAACGATTTTACTGAGTAACAGTTCATGTAAGGAAATCAGTCTATGGATTTCACATGACTGGGAATACAGATATGCATCTGTTGGTCATAGATACCTTAACAAAAAAGGTAGGGGTGTGGATCAGAAAACCAGTCAGTATCTGGTGTGACCACCATTTGGCTCATGCAGCACCACACATCTCCTTCGCATAGAGTTGATCAAGCTGTTGATTGTGGCCTGTGGAATGTTGTCCAACTCCTCTTCAATGGCTGTGCGAAGTTTCTGGATATTGGCGGGAACTGGAACACGCTGTCGTGCATGTCGATCAAGATTATCCCCAACATGCTCAATGGGTGACATGTCTGGTGAGTAAACAGGCCATGGAAGAACTGAGACATTTTCAGCTTCCGGGAAGTGTGTACAGACATGGGGCCATGACATGGGACATGCTGAAACATGAGGTGATTGCGGCGGATGAATGGCACAACAATGGGCCTCAGGATCTCGTCACGGTATCTCTGTGCATTCAAATTGCCATCGATAAAATGCAATTGGGTTCGTTGTCTGTAGATTATGCCTGCCCATACCATAATCCCACCGCCACCATGGAGCACTCTGTTCACAACCTTGACATCAGCAAACCGCTCGCCCACACGACCCCATACACGTGGTCTGCGGTTGTGAGGCCAGTTGGATGTGCTGACAAATTCTCTAAAACAACGTTGGAGGTGGTTTATGGCAGAGAAATTAACATTAAATTATCTGGCAACAGCTCTGGTGGACATTCCTGTTGTCAGCATGCCAATTGCACGCTCCCTCAAAACTTGAGACATCTGTGACATTGTGTTATGTGAAAAAACTGCACATTTTAGAGTGGCCTTTTATTGTCCCCAGCACAAGGTGCACCTGTGTAATGATCATGCTGTTTAATCAGCGTCTTGATATGCCACACCTGTCAGGTGGATGGATTATCTTGGCAAAGGAGAAATGCTCATTAACAGGGATGTAAACAAATGTATGCACAACATTTGAGAGAAATAAGCTTTTCTGGGATCTTTTATTTCAGCTTATGAAACATGGGACGAACACTTTACCTGTTGCGTTTATATTTTTTGTTCAGTGTTAATAAGTTAAATGTCTTATATGTGATTAAATGTTTTCCACCAACATAGCTACGTGTAGTCTACTTGGACACCGGGTCCCCACATTTCCCACTCTCCCACGCCAAATAGTTTGAAGCTACAGCACAGGGCTCTTCTAGCAGGCTCTATTTCCCAATGTGGGAGCATGGTTATATGTACATTGAACAACATAGCAGCTTTTCAGCATTTTTTGTTATTTCTGTATAACAAAAAATCGGTTACCCCAATTTGTGGGCGTGGTCAAGAGGATTTCCTCATTATTACGTGACTACAGACTGGGACTATTCTCTCTAACCTCATTATGTCAATGGTGTGTCCTAGTTACAAGCCAGAGTGAGTCACTCCAAGGAAAAAAATTTAAGTTACCATGGAGATTACACAGATGTTGTTTTTCAATGCAGAACCATGAAACCATGTTGTTATTATGGAAATATTTTGTCAGACTCCAGAGTCAAAGTAAATACTTCCAGCTCTAGGGGTGGAACCGAACATTGTGAGGGTTGAGAGCCAGAGGGACGTCATTGTATGCTGTAGCGTTAAGAAAACAATGTGTTATGTCACAACAGCGGTGTAGCCTCTTTTTTATACAATTTCAATCGTGCAGAGAGAGAGAGAGAGAGAGAGAGAGAGAGAGAGAGAGAGAGGAGAGAGAGAGAGAGAGAGAGAGAGAGAGAGAGAGAGAGAGAGAGAGAGAGAGAGGGAGAGAGAGAGAGAGAGAAAGAAAGAGAAGGGAGTTCCCTTGTAAACCGTGAGGGATTCCATCCTACTCTATGACATGTCTGGGTGTCCCCCATTGGATTGGTTTCTCCATAGCAGTGAGTCATTGTAGAGAAAAAAAACAAAGTTACCATGGAGATTACACAGATGTTGGTTTGTAATGCAATGAAACCATGTTGTTTCAAGGACCAAATTACATGTATTTTAGTATTTTTTTGTAATGGAGACAGTAACATTAGTCATCTAAAAAAAATTCAACTTTAAGGAAAATGTTTTTATATATACACTACATGGCCAAAGGTATGTGGACACCTGCTCGTCGAACATTTCATTCCAAAATCATAGGCATTAAAATGGAGTTGGTCTCCACTTTGCTGCAATAACAGCATCCACTCTTCTAGGGAAAGCTTTCCACTAGATGTTGGAACATTGCTGTGGGGACTTGCTTCCATTCAGCCACAAGAGCATTAGTAAGGTCAGGCACTGATGTAGGGCGATTAGGCCTGGCTCGGAGTCGGCGTTCCAATTCATCCCAAATGGTGTTCGATGGGGTGGAGGTCAGGGCTCTGTGCAGGACAGTCAAGTTCTTCCACACCGATCTCGACAAACCATTTCTGTGTGCCACAAAGTTGGAAGCACAAAATCATCTAGAATGTCATTGTATGCTGTAGAGTTAAGATTTCCCTTCACTGGAACTTAGGGGCCTAACCCAAAGCATGAAAAACAGCCCCAGACCATTATTCGTCCTCCAAACTTTACCGTTGGCACTATGCATTCGGGCAGGTAGCATTCTGCTGGCATCAGCCAAACTCAGATTTGTCTGTCAGACTGCCAGATGGTGAAGCGTGATTCATCACTCCAGAGAACGCGTTTCACTGCTCTGGAGTCCAATGGCGGCGAGCTTTACACCACTCCAGACGACGCTTGGCATTGTGCATGGTAATCTTAGGCTTGTGTCCGGCTGCTCGGCCATGGAAACCGACTTCATGAAGCTCCCAACAAACAGTTATTGTGCTGATGTTGCTTCCAGAGGCAGTTTGGAACTCGGTAGTGAGTGTTGCAACCAAGGACAGAAGATTTTTACGCACTACATGCTTCAGCACTCGGCAGTCCCGCTCTGTGAGCTTGTGTGGCCTACCACTTCGTGGCTGAGCCATTGTTGCTCCTAGACGTTTCCACTTCACAATAACAGCACTTACAGTTGACGGGGGCAGCTCTATCAGGGCAGACATTTGACGAACTGACTTCTTGGAAAGGTGCCATCCTATGACGGTGCCATGTAGAAAGTCATTGAGCTCTTCAGCACGGCCCATTCTATTGCCAATGTTTGTCTATGGAGATTGCATGGTTGTGTGCTCGATTTTATACACCTGTCAGCAACGGGTGTGGCTGAAATAGTCTAATCAACTAATTTGAAGAGGTGTCCACATACGTTTGGCAAGGTAGTGTATTTATATTTTTTATTTGTATGTTTAGCTCACATAATATAATTTAGAAGTATGGAATAAGGTGTCTGTAATAAAATTAATGTGGCAAAAACGAATGTAGACGTTAATAAATGCATTTCTATAGCTTCCAAAATATTTTTGACAATGGTGAGGGTGTGCCAAGATGGAGGCACGGTGGCTTCAACACAGCGCCCCCTATCAGTCATCTAGCATTTCGCTACACCCGCTATAACATCTGCTAA